AATTTAAATGTTTATGGTTTTACTTGCATTTAAATATTTAGTATATATAAAATTAGAACTTAGATTGTTTAGAAGTAATTAAACTAAAATATATATATTTTTTTAACTGTTCGCTTTGCTTCGGTAAAGCGTGTCGCTTCGCTTCTCGCTTCTCGCCTAGGCGTTAGGAGCCTTGGTCGCTTCGGTTCGCTTTACGCCTTAAATAACACTGCATAAGCCTAAAGGTTTTCTTTCCTTCTCTGTTATTAAGCCTGTTCTTCTTCTTCTGTTACATGTTGTCCTATGCCTGATATGTTTATTATGCAGACTGTTTTATTTGATGCATCTTAGAAGTTAGCTAATTAAAGGGTTCAGTTCAGCATTCTGATAGATCATAATTAGAGAGAGAATGTATGCTGGAATTTTGCTGGTACACATTCATATTTTTCCTACCATATGCTTCATGAGTGTGAAGCTCAGATATTGTGTTGAGAGAGTTCTGCCATGCACAATCTTAGTCAAAATCTGTAATTGAATAACACCCTGAGCAGAGGTAATTTCTACCTACAGATGAATGAATCAGAAAGGCAAGTATTTCTTTCATTGCACATCTTATATCAAATCGTTCATTGAGGCCAAGGGAATAAACTTCCACAACTAAAAGATTGTGAAAACTGTAAGTTTGTAAAGGGAGATGCATATCACCATCAGCCAAAAGGTGGGCAAGAACTACTCGTGGCATCACCTACAATTTAACATATCCCTACTTCAGAAAAATGGGTCACAAGAAAAACTTCAAAACTGTAATCTAATTCATCACCTACAATTTAACATATCCCTACTTTAGAAAAATGGGTCAAAAAAGTAAAACTTCAAAACCGTAATCTAATTAGATCCCAAATGCTAAAAGAAACCAAAATAACCTCATGCAGGTGAAAAACAGGAACACTTCAATTGATTGAAAAACAAAGTAACATCTACTACAGAAAATCAGATGCAAATATGCAAACTTTAGACTGCAGCCTCATGAAGTAGGATGCATTGTCAGTCCCATTAACTAGAAACTTACATTGGCGGTTATTGCCACAAGAAACTGTGTGCTTGAAAGAGACAGGGAGGGGAGAAGGAAAAATTATACCTTAACAGAGTCCTTCACGGAGCCTCGGCCTCTTATATATATTCTGCATTCTGTCATGGCCTCAACCCTTTTCAAAGAGTTCCCACGTGGTCCCAAAATCCGGCCAACAAAGTTATACTGCCATGCATTCTCATTAGAACAAATCATTCAACAATGAATAAAGAAAATGAAAAGCCAACCCACAACAATTTTCTTTATTTACGTTTGGGAACTTCTCCACTGGAACATCAAGTCTGATGATTCTCTTCATATTAGGAGTGGTAGCAATTGCTGGTGCTCCATGCCAACCCATCGAGGAAGCTCGGAATGGAGCCATTTTCTGTAGAACTCCGCTTTCCTGAAACAAATATATTGTCATGTATGCAAATTTTTCCATCAACTTTTAAAAAAGCTCAGCTAGCAACCAACACTTTAACGAGGTTGTACAAGCTTGAATTGGTTAAAGTTATCCATTACATATTGATCCAGTGCCATAAAGGTATGGTCCACTTTTAAAGAATTCAAGGTATCCACTAGCACTGGTTGCAGAAGCCACAACATAAATACATTTTGACACTATCATTATTAGCCATCAATTGCCTTAACTGTTAGTCTGATTATGGATGCTCTTTAGCATACACAAGCAATCAACAAGTCAAATATAGATATACGGCATACTGTTATCATTCAGAACTTTCGGGTAGATGCTTTCTGTCCAAATATGACCCAAAGTCATTGACTGATTACTTGTGTAATTAGTCCCATAACACTGATTTAAATCCACAAAGAGGCACCAAATAAGCTACCATGAAAATGCTAGAGATTGACACTGAAAAGGCATAGTACTGTAGAGGGAGATTAAGATTGGATGCAATGCAAAAATAAAATGTATGTGCTTTGAACAGGTAATACCATCATCTATACTACTACAAAATGTCAACAAAAGGGAAAAACTTTTGGTTGACAATAATAGCCCTAATCAAACACCTAATGATAATACTATCCTTTTAGAATCAATACTATGCAAATGACAAAGCTTCTATTTTCCAATTTTATGCTCCTTTAATTTTATAAAAGTCACTTCTATCCACAATCTAATAAAAAAAAAGGGTTAATTGCAAGTTGCACCCTGAAAGATAGTTGGAATCTCAATTTACACCCACAAAAATAAAAAATCTTANCAAATGACAAAGCTTCCATTTTCCAATTTTATGCTCCTTTAATTTTATAAAAGTCACTTCTATCCACAATCTAATAAAAAAAAAGGGTTAATTGCAAGTTGCACCCTGAAAGATAGTTGGAATCTCAATTTACACCCACAAAAATAAAAAATCTTAATTTGCACCCTCAAAGATAGAAATTTGTATCAATATGCACCTAAAACTAAATTGATAAATTATACCTACATTCCTTCATGTTTGTCACTTAATCATTTGAACCCCTTCACATTTAGAATATTACTCCTACATCTCATAACGTTTGTGCACGTGTAACACGTAACCCCTTTTCATTGATATCTGTTAATATAACCATTAAAAAATATAATGTTATCCTAATAAAAAATTATAATGTCCAATGATAAACTTGATTTTGAACTTTAGAGTATATCGAACCCCAAAATAAAGGGTAATATGAAATTATAATATTTTATTAGAATAAAATCATATATTTTAACGGTTATATTAACAGATATCAATGAAAAGGGATTACATGTTACCGGTGTACAAACGTCATGAGATGTAGGAATAATATTCTAAATGTAAAGGGGTCCAAATGATTAAGTAACAAGCATGCGGAGATCTAGGTATAATTTATCAGTTTAGTTTTAGGTGCACATTGATACAAATTTCAATCTTTGAGGGTGCAAATTGAGATTTTTGATTTTTGGGGGTACAAATTGAGATGCCCACTATCTTTCGGAGTGCAACTTGCAATTAACCCTAAAAAAAATTTGGTTGACAATAATAACCCTAATAAAATACCTAATGCTATTACTATCCTTTTAGAATCAATACTATGCAAATGACAACGCTTCCATTTTCCAATTTTATGCTCCTTTAATTTCATAAAAATCACTTCTATCCACAATCTAATAACTCTATTGATTTATAACATTTTGACTGTACCTATTCTGGGCAGTGATTATAGCAGTTCGCCATTAAAATTTGGACCTTTTCATCTGGCATTTCCTTAGTCACGTTGTGATATTTATAATGGCCTCTCATTTTTTACACTCTGTGCTGTGAAACCAGTGGGTTGCTTGAACAGTTAAGGATTCTCTCTCTTTGCTTGACCTGTATTCCTATTTATAATAGTGCTTTTGCGATTTTACATGTTTTTTCTATCCTACAACAGAGTATTTATTTTGTCTGATTGTTTGTTTTAGTGCAATTCCTAGAGGTTTGTGTTGACAACCAAAACCAAGACCCACAAACCCGAAGAACAACATTGACCACAGTCAGGAAAAGGAATACAAGAACTAACATCCCCTTAAAAGCCACAGAGGAAATAGCTATTTCAGTAAGTTAAAATCTTCTCTCACCATGATAATTTAGAGGGGTGGTTTGTAGAATAGGTGTTTGGGAAGAATGGATTGGCCAACAACTAGAATGTAAACTCATTGAGGTGAAGTTGTTCAGATTTGTTTTTACCAGTAAGTTTATGTGAACTCATTGAGGTGTTTCTATTGTGATCCTCAAATATTCATGTTAGATGACCAAATTTATGAGGCATGGGAGGCGTCCTTTTCATGTACTATTAGAATGTACTCGATAGTACTCTCAGACTTATAATATATTTCAATAGAATTATGCTAGCTTTCCTTCCTCTTGATTCCATGATGCCTCCAAAATACCATTTGTTGTTATATGACTGTCAATTGAATGTATGATTCTTAATTGTTGTCCTATTCTTTGGTTTGATTCATTCACAAGGTTTGAGTTCATAGTTCGTACATGTGATATTTCATACCAATATATAAATTATACAGTTGTACATGCAAGTAGGGTTCATTTGTAAAATGGTATGTTACAGTTGGAGAATTTAGTGAAGGGAGGGAAATGAAAAGGCAGCACATATGCAATAATATCAGGAAAAAAAATCATACAATAAGATATATGATACCCTATGGAAAACACTATGTGGAGATCAAACGAAAATAAGGAGAAGGGAGAGATTGGGATGGTACTCTATAAATAATCTCTCTGCTGAAAGTTGAACATCTGCTGAAAGTAGAACATCTAATCCAGGTTTTCCACGAGTTGTAAGGCTCATGAACATTCTGAAACATGACACCAAAAAGGGTGGCAGGCACAAGGCAGGGGTAATGAACCCTCTCAATCCATGAGTACTTGATATACTCTTTTATTTAGCCTTTGCAAGTTCATTGGTAGTGTAAGAAATTGGTTTTCATTAATGGCGTGACTCCTAACAGTCTTCAAACTATTCTATAGATGCATTAATTTAATACGACAATAGTTGTCTTCTCTTTGACAAAAAAAAATTCCAATCGGACAAGAGAGTTTTCTATATTTTGTTTTGGGTGATGCTAAAATCTAAGGGGCTTGCAATATATGTTTCAATAAAAGAGCACCAAATGCTCTTTGGGTTTCCCTCAACGGCATTCTTCAACTAAAATATTTGCTATGTTGTTGCAAACTCAAGTTGATTACAGTGACAACAAATATAATATTTTAGACAACTAAATTTGATTGAAGCAATACACCAAGTCTATTCAGACAAGAGTGTTTTCTATATTTTGTTTTGGGTGAAGTTAAAATTTAAGAAGTTTGCAATATATATCTCAATAAAGTAGCACAAGACTCCCCTTTAGGTTTCCCTTTTTTTATGGAGTCCTTCTACTAAAATATATGTTATTTTGTTGCTAACAACTCAAGTCTATTACAGTGACAACAAATATAATATTTAAGACAACTAAATTTGATTGAAGCAATACACTACTCAAGTCTATTTGGTTCATTTTTTAGATAACTAGATTAATATTTTGATGGAGATAATGAGAAGCACATAGGCTCTAACATGAAGACAAGGAACACCCCTCGAAGAAGTAGAAAGCCAAATTAAAAGACAACCTGAAGAGTGTCAAGAGAAAATGAGTTGTTGTTGAAAAACTTATATCTAGAAACATCAAGAATATGCTTCCTCGTGCTTTATTGGAGTCCCCTGCATCTCGAGCTTTTTGTTTACTATTGATCTTGGTTTTCAGTTATTAAATGTATGTTGGTTTTTGGTTGAACACTGATGAATGTGAGCTATCACACTCATAAATGGATACCAAAGTTACCTCTCTAACACTACCTTAAGTATGACAAAACATTCTAAAAACTTGTCAACAAAAATTGTGACAAACAGACATTCAATTTTAGAATACTTATAATTGGTGGCATTTCAAGCCCCTTAGTAATCATAGTCCATAATTTTTGATACGCAAAATAGTTCACGTGTAAAGCACATGTACACCTTCTAGTGACCATAAATGATCGGTGGTCAGAAGGATCCAGAAATTATCATTAAAATGGGAGCCAAACTTCCTGGTCTCTTTAGCAACACACATGTAGTTGTAAATGTTGCAACTTGAGCAAGTTGAAACCAATTAAGCCTCTCATGGCAGGACCAGGTTGACATATTTACACAGAAAGGTTTGGCTTGGGTTGGAACTTCCCAATCCAAAACAATAAACTATGTCAGAATATATGTGCAACCAAACACACACAAACATATGGATTGAGTTGTAGACCACTCATTCAAGTATTGTCATGCCCTTTTCAAAAAGAACTGGAGAGCTTTTATAATTCAAATCTTAAATTTAGAAGGAGGAACAAATTACAGCTTCAATAAAACGACACAGCTCCCTCCAGCAGATAATACCATCTGACTTAATAACCATTCTAACTGCCAAAGAAACTTATAATATATATGGAACATAAACACTCTGATGTATCGAATATGCTACTCGGATGGGATACGTATTGGATATGCACTACATGTAGCCATTAATAAATAAAATATTTGAATACTCGCAGATACATATCTAAAGTGGTTATGCTTCAGGTATGGAAGTGAATTGGCGGAGCAATGTGTAGAATATTCTATTTAATCTTTACTCTTTCCTCTCGAATTTACATATGATGTAGCACCTATAGAGAAATTCCCTTAACTTTGAAGAAACATGGGTGTTTTTTGAGTATTATCTATTATCAAATGTCAAAAGAGCACAGAATGAGTTAATTATGACAAGAAGTACTTTTACGGAAACTAACTAGCGATTCCCTTAATTAGTCGTGTTCACTTTGTGAATATACTATTGAGACAATCTATACTTTATTGAGACAATCTATACTTCTTTGAGAGTAAAAATTACTATTTTTTCCGTACTGTTCTTAAAGAATCTACTCCAAATTATAATTATAAAGTCATCGGTTAACAATAGAAATACAAAATGTAGTCTTTTACAAACATATCATGATCATATCCGTATCTTATTTTTTTAGGTTTTGTCATATCGCTGTATCTATACTATATCATTCCCGTATCTTGTATCAGTATCCATGCATCCCAATAAAATATTATATAGACGACAGATTGTAGATCAGAATTGGTCCCAAATAGCAAATAGTTCAAAAAAAACATTGTACCAGTGTGTTAGCTCGTTGAGGGACCACAAACAAAGGTCAGATTTTATTAAGCAACAGCTCTTACACAGTTTTATGAAAGGAAGTCCAACGACAATACTGGTCAAAATCAACAACAATAATAACAATAATGGTCAAATGCAACAACAATAATAACAATTGTCACAACAAGATTAAAGAAATAGTATCGATCACCCGTTTAAAGTCGTATGTTTTGCAAAGTAAACCTCAATGAAAATAATACAAATCAAACCTCTGTCTGCATTGCAGGCCATGTCTCCACATCCATTGGTCCTCCGTTAGGTTGTTGAAATGACCTAGTCCTATATGTATGCTCAAGCCCCATTTTTTCATGAACCACTGAGCTTTGAGCAGATACCAATCCTGATGCCCTTATGATTTCTGCATAGAGATGAAAGAACGAAAAAGCAATTACATATTAAGTGTGTTGCTACTGCAGGAAACTGAGTTTGGTGTTTGTAGTAGCCAGCTCAGCATAGAACTCTGCTTCCAACAGATGCACTACAATCAAAAAAATACTACAATGCATCCCCAGAAACAGGTCAGATTTGCATATATCATATCCCCTGATAAAGGTCAAAATAGCCCAAGAGCATTACAATACTAATTCCAAAAAAATCTCTGTTAAGGAAACACTGGTATAAGAAAGTTTTACCCAAAACCAATTTTGCATGTAGAGGTGTTTGCAAGTAATAATATGGAACCATGCAGGTTTCAGGCAAAGTTGCTATACTTCCTTAATAATTTTGAGCAAATTTAACCAATGTGTATTTCAAGTATGATCCATTCTGTACAAGTATTGTCCAATCACAAGTAGGGAAAAAAAAAAGGAAAGCAAACACTATGGCACATATATCAGATCTTAATATACATCTTGAAGTAATAATTCATACGAGATGATTTATCCTTCGACCTTCTTACACTACGGTCCACTAGCATGAAAAAAAAAAGATTTTAAGAAACTTTTCTATAGTCGAAGTAAGTTTTGGATTCTCTTTAGTCTATTTATCCACGGTATTATTTATTACTGCAGACAACTAGATAATTAAATGGATAAAAAAGTAAACAACAAAAACAAGGGCAAAGACAAAACAAGAAACCAGAAGTAAATAAAATTCAATGGAAAAAAGATACTCTAAAGATCTTGCTCGAGCGTTAAGAATGAACACATCTCAGACACTAAATACGGATAAACAACTGAAATCACATTTAAAATGATGGAAGGAAAGACGATAATTGTTTGAGAGTTTAAAAAAATCCAGCTTTAAAATGTGCAATTCAAGTACTTTTCATACTATTGTGAAAGTTGAGGAGCATGAGACACATGTTATACACTTATACTTCATTGTCTAACAACTTATTAGTACCAATTCCTTCAACTCCATAGGTAATGCACATGATGCTCCAGTAGGCACAATAGCTTGGACATGTGATCTTAATGTTTCTCTCAATAGCAGTGCAGTGAAGCCTAAGAAACAAGAGCTAGACTTTTGTATTTGCATACACAAGAGACAACAATTGACAAAAAGATGGACTTTCTTTAGGTGTATGTGCAGAAATAATGGTAATGGATAAGTTCACTTTTATGGCGGTTCTGACGTCCACACGTAAAGCTTGAACCACAGTGCATTGTATAAATTCAAAAATAGCCAGTTTCTGGGAAATGAGCATAAAAAATATTTATTAAACATTAACTTCTTCTTTTTTCTGCTAAAAAAATATATATATTTAACTTTTTCTGTTGTGAACTTTATTAAACATTACCTTAATGTGAGAAATCCAGGTAGCAGAAACCTTTTAATATCATCTTCTCCTTTTATAGGGTAGAATGATGAACAAATTTTGTATGTCATAATACGCAACAAAATTCAAGGGTGACGCCATATTTTTCCTCATTTTCATTTTTTGGATGGCAGTGCAAGCATGTTCATAATTCATGCTAGTCTACAAAAGGGTTAATACGTGCATCTTTTTTCTCTGTGCAATCATTGGTAAAATAATCAATCAATATTGATGCAAACTAAAAAATAATAAGCAAGAAAAAGGGATGTCTACTTTCAAACACCTTGCTCTTTGCTCAACAAGTAGAGAAGACAAACTGTGTGACTTAATTAAATCCAAATGCAGGGAGTCAGGGACAGATCCTGGATTTGGGCTTTGAGGGGCTGTTGGTGAATTCTTTCCAATGTCTTTTGGGGAATTTAGGAAGATAGGAAGAAATTCACAGACAGACTCCTGAAAATTGTGAGGATCACTTCATAAACTGTGTGCCAAACAAAGGGATTTCTCAAAAACCTTGACCGCCCACCTCTCCCCTTAAATCTATCATTTTCCAAAGTTTACTATGTAACGAGGAAAAGATAGATGGAAAGTAAACAACCTTGATTTAGAAGCCTGCTACATATTGGCAGAATCTGCATGAAAGGTCCCAATTTATGCCTCTCTGCCAATAACTCACCCACATATCTGTCAATGTCATACCAGAGAAAACCACATATCACAACCAAGTATACTCGATGAAAGAAAGATTCTGACTTGCACATAAAAAGAAATGGTCTTGTAGAACCCAATACCAACCATAACATAATTTTTATCAATAGTAACAGTTATAAATGTATTTTTAAATGCCAAAAAAATCAACTGCTTGGACATTGCAAATGATTATTTTAAAGCTACATGCTTAAATATTCTCAATTATGTGCACATTTAGATCTGTGTAAACAGGCAGATATGCAAATAAAAAAATATCAAGTTCAAAAGTGACATTGAAAATAGTCATTGGAGACCATTAAATCACCAAAAATTTTCTGGTTAAATAAAATTATTTAACCAATAATAACAAATAAAGCATAGCTGGGTCTTCTTTACCAAGGGAGCTTTCCCTTTTACATGAGAGTTTCCTTCATAACTCAACTACAACATTGGTCATATGACTATATGAGTACCCAAGCAAGAGAGGAAAACTCACATACGTACAAAGAGGGAATTTGTATGTTTTTGGGTTCTATCGCGATGTCCACGAGTGCAATTATAATCTTAAAATTTAGGAGTTTAAAAGAGGAGCCAAAGCATATTAATCTTATCACATATGGAATACCACAGACCCTTTGGGTCAATACAACAAATTAATAGAGTGCAAAGCTTGCAAACAGCGTACTGCCTTATCCCAACAGCTTGCAAACAGCATGTGCATATAAAATCCAGAATGGTTTTTGGCATAGTGCTGAATAAATGTAAAACAATAAAATAAGAGCACTTATTCCCCTTATGGGGAAAAGATTACAGCACAATGGCAAGTCTCACAAAGATTAATATAGAAATCACACATATGTCCTAAAGACCCACATCAAAAATCCAAAAACTTGACACAGGATTCACATATGAAAGATTCGAGTTGATACGATGATATATAAGACTGACCTTTCACGATCTGAGATAGAGGAAGACCTGTGAAGTGAATCGTGGACTCCAGTAGGGGAGTACTGGAAAAAACTTCCGGGTTGTATTCTATTCTCCATATTCCCAGGAGAATTGAATAGATGCACCAATAACTCTGTAACTACATGTTCATGAAAGTCCACTGTAAGACTAACAGTTCATATGTACCTGCAAATAAATAGAAAGAAAGATATACTTAGAGAGAGAGATTTACTGAGAAATGGAAATCTTTGGTTGAAGCTGAAACAGAGAGGAGAGTGAAGAGAAGGTGGGGTGGGAATGGGAAGAGATTCAATTCTTCCCCCCTTATTGGACCCCTCTTCTGGGGATGGAAGAAAATGACACAGAGGAGAAAAAAAACCCTGCTAATAATGAACTTGTGATTCCTTCTCTTTTGTGTTCACATTAAAATATCCAAAGCCTCTGGTCGGTAACAAAAGTCTAGGAATCTTTTTTCCCATATACATTACCAATTACTTTGCTTTAATTGAAAAAATATATTTTTGGCAAATAAAAATATTTTGGTAAATGAAATGAATCAGTGGTAAACGGGTTGAGAGTTTAATTGGGTTTTCAATCGAATTTGTAAAAGTTTTAATCTGACTTGAATTATTAAATCAAAAAAAAACTTTGACATGACTGATTTAAGTTTGAGTTTTTTTTGAACTCCTTTGGACTCGTGATAACTCAAGTATCTTATCAAGATAACATTCACTGGGCCGAACTAGACCATAGCCCAGCATCATGGAAGCTCAGAATAATTCAACTCATAATAGGCGTNTTCAATCGAATTTGTAAAAGTTTTAATCTGACTTGAATTATTAAATCAAAAAAAAATTTGACATGACTGATTTAAGTTTGAGTTTTTTTTGAACTCCTTTGGACTCGTGATAACCCAAGTATCTTATCAAGATAACATTCACTGGGCCGAACTAGACCATAGCCCAGCATCATGGAAGCTCAAAATAATTCAACTCATAACAGGCATNCTTTGGACTCGTGATAACTCAAGTATCTTATCAAGATAACATTCACTGGGCCGAACTAGACCATAGCCCAGCATCATGGAAGCTCAGAATAATTCAACTCATAATAGGCATTAGCTCGATATCAAAAAGTTCAATACTAATATTCGCTCGAGAGTTGGGAGCTCGGCATCAAGCAATTCACCTATGGTCGTACTAGGACACGTGGACGGGAGACAAGAGGACAATACATGACAATCATAATGAATGAATATTCACCGACAATGAAGATGGCTCACGTATTCTATTCAAGACGTAATGGACACAAGAAAACGTCAGATATTTCAGGAACAACAAGAAGACAAAAATGGAGGGACCACAAAATCGGCACAACAAGAAGACAAAAATGGAGGGACCACAAAATCGGCCATAAAATGAACTATCGCAAATCCCTAATGATGGAATACATAAATAATAACGATATCACTCTGTTAAGGGGCATGAACATAAATCACTTAGCAATAATTTAGGAAATACTCTTAAAAATGCTTCCTACCAAATCTATTGTAATAATTATCTTATTCTCCGGTCAATTTAACTCCCCAAAGAGCAAGAGTTGGAACCACTCATATTTTGTATTTACATCATCTTCAATACTTAATACGATTTCTATCACATAGACACATGCTCATTCCCTCTGAGCCACACCTTAGATGGTCTGTAATTGGGTCAGTNGAAATACTCTTAAAAATGCTTCCTACCAAATCTATTGTAATAATTATCTTATTCTCCTGTCAATTTAACTCCCCAAAGAGCAAGAGTTGGAATCACTCATATTTTGTATTTACATCATCTTCAATACTTAATACGATTTCTATCACATAGACACATGGTCATTCCCTCTGAGCCACACCTTAGATGGTCTGTAATTGGGTCAGTTGATTTCGAGTATCATCAAACTCATTATTTGAATTGAACTCAATTTGAACTCTGACAACATAATTCGAATTGATGTCGGGTTTAATTCAATTTTGGACCTCTAGTTAAACAATTCGGGTTGGATCCAATTTTGGTTGTCAACTTAATGTAATTTGGGGTTTGGATTCAAATTAGGACCTATACTCAAAAAATCACTAGTAACATGAATAGTAAAACATAGATATTCTGTTATCTTCTTTGTTTGTCTTCCAATGACTTTAATAAGAGCATACCTAAACAAACTGACCTTATGTCTTGAATTTAACACGTTGAAAGGTATGCTATAAATTTTGCATATGACTCAAGACTTTGTTTTTACNACCTATACTCAAAAAATCACTAGTAACATGAATAGTAAAACATAGATATTCTGTTATCTTCTTTGTTTGTCTTCCAATGACTTTAATAAGAGCATACCTAAACAAATTGACCTTATGTCTGAATTTAACACGTTGAAAGGTATGCTATAAATTTTGCATATGACTCAAGACTTTGTTTTTACTATAAATTTTGCATATGACTCAAGACTTTGTTTTTATTAGATGGTATGTTATCTTTTCATTAAATGTTCTTCTTTGTTAGCAAAGTGGTTTGATGTCAACTAATTTTATTAAAATAATAAGGTTGGACATTATTTTGACAACCCTACAAGTCGTATATGGATATTCTTGAATATCTGAAAGTAGGGGTGTTTAAATTTTTGATCGGCCGCAAGTTCCTATCCTACCCAACTCTACCCTATCCTACTGAATGGCTAGCCGCAAAAATCGGGTAGGAATGCGGAAGAGTTTTTGGTCTTTCGACAATTTTTTGGTAGAAATGCGAAATGACCATTCATTTCCGCATTCCTACCCTACCTTACTCGCAATAATTTTTTAATATATATATATATAAACTAAAAAAATCTTAAACCCTAACCACAGGCAGAGCAATTATGATTTTAATGTATTTAATATGATNGGGGTGTTTAAATTTTTGATCGGCCGCAAGTTCCTATCCTACCCAACTCTACCCTACCCTACTGAACGGCTAGCCACAAAAATCGGGTAAGAATGCGAAAGAGTTTTTGGTCTTTCGACAATTTTTTGGTAGAAATGCGGAATGACCATTCATTTCCGCATTCCTACCCTACCTTACTCGCAATAATTTTTTAATATATATATATATAAACTAAGAAAATCTTAAACCCTAACTACAGGCGGAGCAATTATGATTTTAATGTATTTAATATGGTTTAAAGTTTAAACTTAAAGTAATTGTTATTGTATTTGTGCAACAATTATGGTGGATTGAAGTTCATATTTTCTTGTGTTTTATTATAATTCTTGTTATAGTTATTTTAGATTTTAGTGTTAATTGATTTATTGTGTTGTTAAATTGGTGTATGTTATTTNCTTGTTATAGTTATTTTAGATTTTAGTGTTAATTGATTTATTGTGTTGTTAAATTGATGTATGTTATTTTTAATTAAATTGTTAAAATGATCCAAAAATTAATTGTTACAAAAATATTTACCCGATTTCCTATCTGACTTCCTACCCGATTAATCGGATAGGAAGTCAGGTAGGAATACCACACTTGTCGGGTAGGGTAGGCCAAGAAAAACAAATTCGCAAAATATCAGGTAGGAAGACAGAATAGCATATTTCCTACCCGTAGGGTAGGGTGAACACCCTTATCTGAAAGAATCANTTAAATTGTTAAAATGATCCAAAAATTAATTGTTACAAAAATATTTATCCGATTTTCTATCTGACTTCCTACCCGATTAATCGGATAGGAAGTCAGGTAGGAATACCACACCTGTCGGGTAGGGTAGGCCAAGAAAAAAAAAATTCGCAAAATATCAGGTAGAAAGACGGAATAGCATATTTCCTACCCGTAGGGTAGGGTGAACACCCTTATCTGAAAGAATCAAGTGTATCAAATGGCTCTTTAACATGTTATGTGTAAGATGAGTTTTTTTTTTTGGGGGGGGGACCATGTTTGTTTATATAATCAATATTGTAGGTTAAAAACAACTATGAGGTTTCAACTTTTGTTTTGCTTTTTTTTTTTTACCTTAGGATATACTTTGTGTGTGTGAGTTGATATTTTTGTAAATACTTTTTTTAGGAAAACATTTACTAAGTATATTTGAAAATACTGGACCCATATAGATTGACAATTATTCCCAATTTTTTCCAATCGACAATTTGCCTGTGTTAAATAGTGTCTTCAAGCATGAGGTATATATATATCTATGTAATAAAGTATAAGAGATTTGAATCCCCAACTTATAAATTTGTTCAAACGTCAAGGATTAATTACTAAACATTTGTAATTAATTTAACAGACAAATTTAATTCTTGAAAAAAACTAATTTTTCGTCAAAAGGGTATTGATCCCGTCAAAATAATTTTGCACTCTTAAATCACGCGAGATCGAATATCTCATATCTCTTATTATATATCTCTTCTACGACCTTATATTTTTCTCTTTTTTTATCCCCCCTCCTATCTCATTGTAGTTGCGTAGACTTACTTTTCTATATTTTTTCTGTTGTATAAAAATATTTGGTATTTTTCATTTTTTTCTCGTATTTAAAACACAAGACAAAAAATGGATGGTCGGTGATGCATCTTCAATTATTGGCTCAAAGTTCGTACATTTTAAAATAGGATAAATTATAATTACATAATGTGATAATCCGTAAAAAAAATAACTTCATAATTAGGTCGTTCTTGAAATATAAATTTCTAATGTGAAAATAAGTCAAATAACTATATTACAAGTAACGTTTTGAGTTTGATAACACTTTAAAAATTAAATGTTCAAAGTGTTAATATACAAATCTTGTGGACAAGTGTCACGTTAGGATTTAAGGAAAAAAAAATTTGATAAGTGTCTTGTGATGCAATGTATGCATCGCCAAATGACATCAACAAAGTGATGTAAAAACCTTGGAGCCCAAGTCATTCCCACTATAAAATACTTATCCATGATCAGAAGGGAAATCAAGGAGAAAGAAAGGAGAAGAGAGAGAGAGAAAAAGGAAAAGAAAGAAAGAGAAATTTATGAGANATCCATGATCAGAAGGGAAATCAAGGAGAAAGAAAGGAGAAGAGAGAGAGAGAAAAAGGAAAAGAAAGAAAGAAAGAAAGAGAAATTTAATATATTTTGAAGTTAAAATTTGAGCGGTGATTTTACTTTAAAATTTAAGTATTTAATTCTTGATATTTCTAATTTAATATCTATCAAAGTCATTGATGGATTTGAGGACGGGGTAGTATATAATATACTCCTGTCTTTTAAATCTTTTTGTAAATAGTGTTATTTAATTATCTGAAATTTGTATTCCTATTGATTATTCTGATTGATACAAAATTTTGTCAATTCTATCGGTTGACTTATACATTGGGCTAAATACTTTGGGATTGATTGGTACATGTATAAAGTACAAGGATCAAAATTTTGTTTTCGGTGTATTGTTTCGGTCACCTATAAAATAAAAACGTTTCGACATGTTTCGGAAAAGTTTCGACCCGTTTCGAAAACAAAATGAAAAATAATAAAAATTTAAAAATTATTTTTTCAAAACATTTGTCAAAATATATAAAAAAATATTAAAATACCTTGAAATATTCTGAAATAATTGTGCAAATACATTGAAATATAACAAATATTTCGAAACATTATGGAATACCTCGAAGTATTATAATTTCAATTCCATTACTGATTTGTTTTGGTCTCCTTGGAAACGAAAACGTTTCAGATGTTTTGATAGTTTCGAAACAATTTTTTGATCCTTGATGAAATGTACTTGGGGCATAATTGGTAAAATGTGATTATGGCCCATGCGTGGTGCAATTGTGATTACAGCCCTACGGAGTGTAATAGTTCGATATAAACATGAAATTTAAATGTTCAAGTGTCACTTATCATGTCACTGTCAAAAATAATCGAGTATGAGGCTATGCTTGATAACAATTGAGTTATGTGACTTGTCGAATGTGATTCTTGATTATCATCTGAATTATTGGTATTTTATCATCATATGTTACTCGTTGAGCATATTATTTCCTGTCATATTTTATACTTTTTCATTTTTAATATATTTTTCTGGTTAATTTCGGGGGGAATGAGTAAAGTTGATATTTGAGGAATCGAAGATGGATAAGTCTTGATAAAATTTTTAAATTTGTGGGTTTATTGTGATGATATATAATTTGAGTAGATTTGTTTTTATATTGAGAAGATTATTTTTATTGTTATTTGGAGATTAAAATTGTGATTATAAATTTAATTGAGACAATTATAGCTCTGACCATGTACTTAGATATTTATTTGTGGTTGTTGTGATAGATTGATTTAATCAAATAACGGGTCCAAAAAATCGGGGCGTTACACATAATATGTGTTTCTATTTAAATTATTTCATAGGTGGGAACAAACTTTAGCAATCAATCTAATCTTTTAGTTTTTTGACATAATGTCTTTAGGCACATGTCTATTATTAGTTAAATTATATTTTCTCACTTACGATATTTGATAACATTTCTTCAACAAGTTTGACAAAAAAGTCAAAAAAAAAAAATATGATCAAACACGTTTGTAACATTTTTCAATTCTAGCATAATTTGTTTAATAATGTTAGTTTGATATTTTTCCTAAACTTTTTGATATGTGCTTAGATAAGTGGCGTGTCTAGTACTACTCTTAGATTGTGACATAAATCCTTTTTTACATGTTTCTTCATTAATGCTCCCACAAGGCATAAACCCCTTCAACTTTTTCTTTTTTTGAAGATAAAAGATAAAAAAAGTACCACCTCCAATTGCTATTTTATAAAAATCGTTTCAATTTCAGACTTAAATTTTTCCTAGAAAGGGGAAACGATAAATTCAAAAATATAAGTCATCTCGATCGGGAGGTGAAATGTTGGCACCCTTTGATCCTCTCGGTCTTTTTATCAAAACTATAAATTGAGTTATCAAAAATATTTTTGTGAATGAAATGAAACAACATTGTAAATTAATTTATTAAAAGTGAAATAACCTCCTTAAAATTATGCACAAAATATAATTTCATACCATAAATTCATAGAGACGGAAAAAATTAGTGAGCAATCGAGATTTGAGAATAAGAGATTGTAAATTGGTGAGTTGAAATGAAATGAAATGACTTCTATTTACCGACAATATGTTTGTTGGCAAAGTACTATTCTCTTTAATGTAATTGGTAATAGTTAGTTGTGGTTAAACTGGATATTTTATGATTTTATTACATATAATTACAAATTTGTGGCACTAATATGAGTTGTTGGGTTGGTCAATACCATCCATTGCTCCCCCAAAGGGCTACATTTTGCAAAATAGAAAAAAACACGTGGTCAATTCCGATTAATCGGGTATGAATTAATATTTCTTTTACTAATAATTTGAACCTGAATTCGATATCATATATTTTATGAATTCAAAGTTGGATATGCCTATATATGACCCGACCCGAACTATTATATATATTTATATATAGATATTTAAAGAAATTAAATAATTATTTTAAAAAAATTAGTTGAAATTTAGTTATCCGGATCGTATCGTATTTTCATATTATTAAAAGAATTTGGATATAAACCATGAAAACTAAAATTCATTATATTATAGGATTGGATTCAGAACAAACTTTTAAATTCAAATTCAAATTCGTCAAAAATCCGATTCAAATTGATCAGTTGACATGCCTAATTATAGGTGTATTTTTTATTTGATTGTTGTTGGTGACAATGCAGGAAAAAGGTAAAAAAATGAAGTTTTGTTTTGTTTGTGCGCGAATTTAGGGTTTGGCCTATTTTTATTTAGGTCAACTATGGATGAGATAGAGGTGAATACAAGTTTTTTTTCCTGATCAAAAATAATTTTACATTTATAAGATATAAACTATGGATGAGATATAAACTTAAAATTACATTTAGCACTTTTTTTTTAATCAATAAACTCCGATACGAGTCAATGAAGTTTTTGGTAGCAGAGAGAGTAGTTTAAAAGTTATATTTTATATACAATGAATTTGTTGAAAACTTTCCCTTTGAGCAATCAAGATACCTCTAAAATTATATTTAATTTATATTTTTAAATTATAATTAATTTATTATTTTTTTAATTATATAATTTAAAATTAAAGTGAATAAAGAGAAGAGAAAGTAGTAAGAGAGAGAGAGAATAAAAAGATAGATATAAATTAGTGAAATTATTGGTAGATGAATTTTTTGTTGGAATGAATTTTATATCAATAAATAAAATAGAATAAAATAAATTTTCAACAATCGTTGTGACTTTATAAAAGCGCAATTCAAATTAATAACTATAAATATTATATAGACAAAAAAGGGGCGGTGGTTAATCATATTGATGAAACAGGAGGTAAATGAAATTTGATTCAGACTATTTGAATTTGAATATTATTAATTTTTTGGAGTTAAATTATAAAAAAATTATTTATCATTAATACTTTAGTCCTGAAAAGAATAATCTATTTTTTAGCTGGATCAAAAAATAATTAATTAAAATATATGTAAACTAATTTAAATCATCCTAACAATTAAACAAAAAAATAAAATAAAAATTAAACTCGTAATTAAAGTCTAGCACTGAGGCCGGCATTAGGCCAAGTGTTAATTACTTTATCCCAACACTTTCCACACTTGCCTCCCATCGTGTGTCGCAAGTTCTATCAGAACAATAACCTTTCCAGGAACCATTACATAAGAGTGTATCGCGCACACCGTGCTTTTTAGCAATCAGCACATGACATCATATATGTTTTAGATGTCCTCATGCTTATTCTNTGTATCGCGCACACCGTGCTTTTTAGCAATCAGCACATGACATCATATATGTTTTATTTGTCCTCATGCTTATTCTCTCACCAAGTTTTTCTGTGACTCTCTCTCTCTCTCTCTCTCTCTCTCTCTCTATAGCATTCTTACGCATGGCTATTTGGGATCGAATTGGGAACTAGGGCACGACTTCTTCTTCGATCGATGCTGTTAATTCTTCGCGAAGATGTGATTTCACGGGGATTCGAGGCATCAAATTTGTGGATATTTTACTTAACGTAGTATTTAGTTTCTAGGGTTTGTCTGGCTCACGCATGAAGGGTCCGTTAGATCGAACAAAGGTCGTGATACGGCACTTGCCGCTGACGATTTCACTCTCGATGCTCATTGAGCAAGTCGATACCCACTTTGCCGGTCGCTACAACTGGGTCTCCTTTCGCCTCGGCAAGAACAGGTTAGAGTTTATGTGTATGGATACATTTTAGTAGAAATTTATTGTAACCTGTATTGACATTTGTTAATTACTGGTTTTACACATCCGTTTGATACAATACTTGAATTTATTGAGGTATATGTATTGTTAGGGGTTTTGGATTTGCATTAAGTGAAATTTATGGGAATTTCATCACTTATTAGTATGTGAACTCTTGGGGAGAGTTAAAGATTTAGTTATTATAATATATGTTGGCTTGTGGTCTGGACTGTGGAACTATGGGTTTTGAGAGGTCTTGGCAAGCTTGATGGTGAAGTTTGGATGCATGTTGGCTTCTGGGTGTGGAACTATCGGTATCAAAAAAGTTCAGCATACCTACTCGGGGTGTCAAAATTATTGGTTCTTAATGTGTTCGCTGCGCCTGGTCTTGCAGCTGAGGGTTAGAGAGATTGCTGTCTTTATAATGGCATGCATTTTTGAGTAATGCCAGAGGATAATTCAACAGGNGTTCTTAATGTGTTCGCTGCGCCTGGTCTTGCAGCTGAGGGTTAGAGAGATTGCTGATCTTTATAATGGCATGCATTTTTGAGTAATGCCAGAGGATAATTCAACATGTAGTTGAATTGCGTGAAAAATGTTGGCGGGAAGGGTCCATGGAAATCCCAATTAGTGGCGTGGGGAGCTGGTGAAAAATGAACAGTTGACAGCAAAATGATGGAAGTTTTTAGATTGACTTTCAATGATTTCGTTATCATGGCAACAACAATTTTTTTGGGTAGGGACTAGGGAGATGCTGTTGGTGTATATTACTTTTGTATAGGTTTTTTGTTGAGAATTGATGTTAACATACATTTTTTTGATCTCGTCTTATCAAAAAAGATATGTTGCCTATTTCAGTTTTATTATTTTGGGAATTTTTATTCTGATCCAGTTAAATGGAAGACTTAATCTTTATCTAGCCTAACAGAAGGGATTTTGAAAAGTACTTCTTAGATGACAGGCGCTTGTTGTCATTTCTCTTATGTAAATTCTCCGGCTTCGAAATTAGAACACAATGACATTATGCTTCTATGAAGTCGATTTGTGTTCCCAATGCATTGTTTTGGACGAGGGATAGTTTTATCCCATTTCAAATCTATTTCCGTCAATAATGAACTGATTCGTCAAAATCAGTACGATGATTATAGTTCCCCTATTTTTTTTCTATTTCCCAATGAATGTTGGGAACCATCTTTACCTACTATACTGCTTTTCACCGAGACATATCTGATGGGAAATATTTTCCTTATTTACTTTCAAGTGAAGATGAGTTTACAATATTGTTGATTCTTTGCAAAATGTTTGTTGATGTTGTACGCACAAATAAGTTCTTGTGCAGGGACTTACACATTTTTTTTGTCCATTAATATGCTTTTGCAGCCAGAAGCATCAAACTTATTCTAGAGCGTACATCGACTTTAAGAGGCCAGAGGACGTTATTGAGTTTGCAGAGTTCTTTGATGGACATGTTTTTGTTAACGAGAAGGGTATTGCTTAAGCATATGCTTGCTACCAAAATACTGCGCCAAATCATTTTGCAACATTTTACAAAATAATTTTATATGAATTGGTTTATTATAAAAAAAAGTTTCATCATAGGAGTAGGGTAACCAGTATTTGTCCCCAATAACACCAATGGCTCAAATTAAAAACTCTGCTGTCGGATGATGTGACAAAAAAGCTAATTTTCTTTTCCCGCTCTCCCATCATCATTTAGAGAACTTTGTTGAATCTGATGTTTTATCTCGAATTTGGTTCCTAGGTACTCAATTTAAAACTATTGTTGAGTATGCTCCTTCACAGCGTGTTCCAAAGCAATGGCCTAAAAAGGATGGGCGTGAGGGGACCATATCTAAAGGTATTGAAATGCTAAGTTGATATGCTGATTTCATATAGGCCTAAATCTCCTTGTTTGCAGTCCCAATTAATTACCTGATGAATTTGTAGATCCCGAGTATCTGGAGTTTCTTGAATTTATTGCAAAGCCTGTAGAAAATCTTCCGAGTGCAGAAATACAATTGGAGAGAAGGGAAGCAGAACGAACTGGTTAGCAGAACAGTTCTACTTCTGCTCTCATGCATTGAACTATATTATATTTGTTAGAGAAATAAATAAATATGTTATGTTATTGAGACAAGTTTTTTCTCTCCTCTTGAATTTCTAGGTGCTGCGAAAGATGCTCCTATAGTTACTCCTTTGATGGATTATATTCGTCAGAAAAGAGCTGCCAAGGGTGGAACTCGGGTATGCATTTTTTTCATTAGTTTTGTTATTGCACAAGGTAAAGAGCATGGAGCATATAAATACTTCTAGCACTGATTCTAAATGGACGTATTACTTACTATTGCGGAAGCAAATGGTCAAGAAGGTTTTTTTTTTTTTTTGCATTTTTTTTTCCTCCTCCGTTGTTATTTGGTAAGCTGTCCGTTCCTATCGCTATTCCGATTTGGTTCTTAACATTTGAAGTTGTTCGGTGGATGCAAAAACTTGGAATTAGATAAATCCTGTAGTCAAATGATTGCATAGGATTTGCTCATTTTCATGACACGGCCCAATGCTTGCAATTGTCTGGACCAAAAGCAATAGATGGAGCCTTCGAGGTGGAACCATTTACATATATATTTTAATATAATTTCATTAGAATTGCAATCAGGGCTAATGCATAGGTCTTTTGGTCTATTAGTGCCTTGATCACGTTTGGAGGCTATTGGGGGGTGGTGCATGGTGTCAAAGTAGTTCCATAAGGTGTCAACGTAGTTTCATAATAATCGTGGCAGTAGATTATTTACACGTTAACCCGATTCTAGTTTGAATACTTTGGGCTTGGTGTTAAGGCTAGAAATCTATGCTTAAGAGCATTATGAACCAGGATTTGGTAAAGGTGAGAGATGTATTACATTTGATGAGATTCAAGTTTGGAAGGTAGGAAGCATTAGTTTTTTGCTTTGACGAACATTTAGAGGGAGTTTATAATTCAGCTAATTGATGTTTTCAAGTACAGATTGTGCCCATGCTATTCAAAAATGGTGGTGGTGAAGGTGGACAAAGGTCGACGATGATGTGGGAAATATCTTAGGGGTGATTATGAACCAGTGATTTGGGATTCTGTTGCAAGAACTGTGGGAGTTGCACTTTCCCGTGTACGAGAAATAAACCTAAGATTTTAGGTTTAAGCCAATTGTTAGGTTTGAGTAAATTTCGTTAAAGTCTGGGGGGGGTAACATTTCACTTGTGGATGTAGACCAGGGAGAAGAAGTTGGGATGAGAAGAGAAGAAGGGGATGTGGACAGAGACAATAGTATTAATTAATAAACAAATTCTTAAGTCTGAATAATACCAATACATCTGTCTCTTAATATAGGCAAACAAATCAATTTAACACAACCATCCTATGAATTAATTGTATATATTAAAGTGTACACACGTAAGATTAAACAAATAGTAAAATTTGCTGNAGACCAGGGAGAAGAAGTTGGGATGAGAAGAGAAGAAGGGGATGTGGACAGAGACAATAGTATTAATTAATAAACAAATTCTTAAGTCTGAATAATACCAATACATCTGTCAATTAATATAGGCAAACAAATCAATTTAACACAACCATCCTATGAATTAATTATATATATTAAAGTGTACACACGTAAGATTAAACAAATAGTAAAATTTGCTGCATATATGAAATAAATATTGCTGGCATGTGTGTTTATAAATGCATAGTTATATATATTTTTCTGCAATGCTGAAAATGAACCAAATAATTATTCAAAACGAAATGTGAACCAAATAATTATCCAAAACGAACAGTGAACCAAACAATTATCCAAAACGAACTGTGAACCAAAGTGGCATACCCACTAAGCCTACCTTATCACATTGTGTACCGGGAAAAGTAACACACCCCTTACCCATACCCATACCCGTGCCACAAACTATATTGACCGATAATCCAGATAACCTTGATCTGTTTCAATAACTATATCGACCGATAATCCAGGTAACCTTGANAAATAATTATCCAAAACGAACTGTGAACCAAACAATTATCCAAAACGAACTGTGAACCAAAGTGGCATACCCACTAAGCCTACCTTATCACATTGTGTACCGGGAAAAGTAACACACCCCTTACCCATACCCATACCCGTGCCACGAACTATATCGACCGATAATCCAGATAACCTTGATCTGTTTCAATAACTATATCGACCGATAATCCAGGTAACCTTAATCTGTTTCAATATCTTATATGAATATGGTTGAAAGTGTGATGGATGGGGAGGCTTTTGGTTATAAACTTTCGTTGCTGCCATGACACGCATATCCATCAATTTGTTGAGGTTAGGTAATTATTGGAGTGAAGTTCGTATTGACCATGAGTGTGACTCTTAAATTTTCTTGCCTGAAATTCCTGATTTATTTCTAGTTTTAATGAGTCCTCCAAGTGTCTTAATTACCTGCTCGTTTTTAAGGTTTAAGTATTACAATTACCAACTTGAAGAAAAATTACGTTAATGACTGCCTACTGTTACATTTTGGATGAGCTCACGGCCTTGCAATTATTTACTTGTAGTCTTGTGGTGTGTTTTAATGAATGTAGTTGATAATCTTCTGTGATCTATGACAGAGACCCCTGTCTAATGGGAAACCAAACAGAAGGGCTAGTGGAGCATCAACTGGAAGTCCTAGTTCTGCTTCATCAAAACGAGGCTCTGAAAAGAGAAGGTCTTCAACGATTATGGTACTTTATTTTTCTCATAAATTCAGATTACTAATGATGGTGCAAGCAAGGAAANTATGGTACTTTATTTTTCTCATAAATTCAGATTACTAATGATGGTGCAAGCAAGGAAAACTAGTTCTTGTTGTGGACTGGTAGTTTTTTTATAAGAGCGATAGTCTGGAAATTTTGGATGGCATCAATGATGGTGCTAGCAGTCAGACCTGGTTCTTGTGTTGTGTATGGGTAATTTCTATATTAAGGCGGTAGTTTGGCATTACATTTTTCATGTTTCTAGCTGCGCACTCGTGCTAGTTACCTTTTAAGTTCTGATAGCTTTTACTTTTAGCTGAAATATTGATATAGTCATCTGTTCTCGTACACTTGGTCATGCATGAAACCCGATTAATATCTTGTCTACTATGTCTGGTCATACATTAGGCTGAAACACAAGGGCAAAAGCTTTCGATTTTTAACTGTGATTTTCTTTTCTTTCATTTGATTTTATTGGCCACTATGGGGTTTTTTTTTTGAAATTGGGAATACGGGCAGAAGTTTTTAATTTTTAACTGTGAATTCTTGCTGGGTTGGCCATGCTTCTCATGGCCTGCAATTGCCTTGTATTCTGCTAAACATTGACTAAGCTATAGATTTTCTTTTTATTTGGTTTTGTAAGTTGGTCTATTTCGTGGTGCGTTACCTCTCCTACGAGGAGATATCTGCGAGGTGCAGAGTCAATGCTTCGATTAAGTAGACGTGCATAATTAAGGAGAGGTGGGATGACGGAGTTCTGGTTGTTAATTTTCACCATGTGGTTGACAGTATGTTTTAAGAGACACTGCAAAAAGTACAAGTGGCAAGGACAAATTGACGGATATTCTGGTTTCTAAACGGGATGATCAGCAGCTTTCTGACAAGTTGGTTACTACATCTGCTGCATCTGGAGTTGGAATGTTGGAGGACGGAAGTCCATACCTAATAGTAACAGTAACAACAAACAACTAATTACTAAACTACGTAAAAATATGTTCTTTAATGCTATATCTTGCTTGCATTCACACATGCAAATGCGTATTTTGAGANACATCTGCTGCATCTGGAGTTGGAATGTTGGAGGACGGAAGTGGTATGGATTATCATTGTCATTGTTGTTTGTTGATTAATGATTTGATGCATTTTTATGTTCTTTAATGCTATATCTTGCTTGCATTCACACATGCAAATGCGTATTTTGAGATGGATGCAAAGTTTCCAAATCCAGAAGTTTGCAGTTTGATTTAGATGAAGTTAGATATATGGTTATTTTAGAATCATTAAAATGAAGGATAAAATGGATTCACACTTTTAGATGGCTATAATGTCAATTGAGTTCAGGGTTGATATTAACACATTTTCTCTCATAAATTAGCTGTTTCTTGGAAATTTTGTTTGCAGATATGTAGTTTTAATTATACTAGTTGGTGCACACGTGCGTTGCATAAGAACTATTTTGTATTATAATTTTTTTTTCTTTTCATTTGTAAGTTTATTTTTCAATATTGAATCAACTTTAAAATATGACGGGGATGTATGGAGAAGCAAAATATAAATGACATAGCAAAGTAAAAAAATTCACTCCAATTNATTAGCTGTTTCTTGGAAATTTTGTTTGCAGATATGTAGTTTTAATTATACTAGTTGGTGCACACGTGCTTTGCATAAGAACTATTTTGTATTATAATTTTTTTTTCTTTTCATTTGTAAGTTTATTTTTCAATATTGAATCAACTTTAAAATATGACGGGGATCTATGGAGAAGCAAAATATAAATGACAGAGCAAAGTAAAAAAATTCACTCCAATTAATGTATGATCGTAGTCTTACATCCATAGCTAGGAACAAAAAACAAAAACCTCATTAATGAAAATTATTTTAGCAGACAATTGCAAAGGAGTGCCAATGGTTTTGGTCCTACAGTGAATAGTGAAATAGGAGACAGTTCGGGAGAAATACATTGAAGTAATGTGAAAGAGAAATCTAGGATTAGAAGATGGGTTTGAGTCAAATTAGGCTAGAAAAGTCAATATACAAAAACAGAACCANTTTTGGTCCTACAGTGAATAGTGAAATAGGAGACAGTTCGGGAGAAATACATTGAAATAATGTGAAAGAGATATCTAGGATTAGAAGATGGGTTTGAGTCAAATTAGGCTAGAAAAGTCAATATACAAAAACAGAAACCAAATCAATGAGCCGATTATAAGCCCCATCCCCAACCGGGAAAAATAACACTTCCCTTTGGCCTTCGTCACCAACCCAAACAATTTCACCAAACCTTCTGGGAATGTCATTGTCCCTAATAACACAGAGGGGCTGCTTGAGCCTTTCTGCTTACAAGATTCTTGTCATTTGAAAAGCTTTCATATGCCACCTCTATAGTTTTGCAGTTAGATATTAAAAGAGATACTTGACTCCATAAAGTTCTAACCTGTATCAAATGAATTTAAACTCAATTATGAAAACAAATGATATTAGACCAAAAAATAAACATTAAAATTCCACATCAATGTAACTCAACAGCACTTCCCGAGGAACTGCAAATTCATAAACATAGTATGAGCACATAGAGCTAGAACTCTCGCAACCAGTAACCAAAAGGGGAGAGGAAAGTGCAGGCTGTTATAAAGTAACAATTAATCCCCGCCGTATCAGACAAGAAAGAAAGGGATTCCATTGAGTTCTTATGCTTTGATCTACAACTTAATACATCCAATTACTAACAAGGATGAATCCAACCTAGTGTATGATAAATTAAAAAAATACCTATTGACAAGACTTCCAACATTCTCTCCGGAGGCGGCAACCTGGCAAAGCTTCGAACCCTGTTAGATAAAACAGTTAGCCTATTTTAATAAGCAAAGGAAACTGAATTCTGCTAATCATCTAAGATTGATAAATGCTAGTATACACTAAAATTAGAACCACAAAATTAAGATTGTACCAAATCATGGCCGCAAAACAAAGTGGCATAACATATTTTTGGTTTGTGATTTGCCTCACGGCATTGATAGTTTGGACCAGGAAGTTAAGTAGAATTTGACAACCCCGTGCAGAGGCAGCAATCTGGCAAGCTTCGAACCATGTTAGATAAAACAATTTGCCTATTTGAATAAGCAAACAGTTGGTCTATTTTGATGGGTACATGCACACAGAATTATTCGTCCAGAGTTACACTGGAAAAGCAAAGGAAAGATCATAGGTTTATACGATAGAAATAAAGAAACTGTTCCATTATAAAGTTTTTCACTTAGTAGCCTCTCGATTCTATGCTTGTGTCCATCTCTATATTCAGTTGAAGGCCACATCACCTTTAGTTATACCAATTGAACTAGTGACTCTATATGTCGAGTTTTGTAAGATCTGAAAACCTTTATCATAATTGCAATGAAGAAGGAAGTGTAAAAAAACTGATGCAGGAAGCTAAGTCCTATCACCTATTGAACAAAAGGCCACAACATGCATAAAGTTGAAAATCAGCATGTTCATTAACAAGGAGATTCGGATTTTGAAGGGAAAAAAAATAAAATTCTGATCATCATCAACTCATCTAATAAAAAATAGGCTTATTGGGACAAAGAGAACCTAATTGACCAATATCAAGTTTTCATAGATTCAGATGATTCATTCATTCAGGAGTTCAAATAAAAGAGATAAAAACATTATAAGGGCTCAATAGATGAATCTTACATTGCATGTTACTCTAGAGAGCATCACGGATTCAAGAACTTCATTCCTAAGTAATTAGCACGGAGACCCGTCAATAGTTTTGTTAAGTAGAATATTTTTTTTATGGTTAAAAANATTATAAGGGCTCAATAGATGAATCTTACATTGCATGTTACTCTAGAGAGCATCACAGATTCAAGAACTTCATTCCTAAGTAATTAGCATGGAGACCCGTCAATAGTTTTGTTAAGTAGAATATTTTTTTTATGGTTAAACAGTGACCATGAATCACATGTATGATCCGAGGGGATAAAAAAATATGAATAAATAACATACATCTTTTTGGACTGCACAAGGTCCCAATTGATCCATCAAATTCAAAGAACTTCCCCTAAGAAATTTCAACTATCAGCATACATTATTTACAGTCAACATCGATTTAATAGCTGCCTTTTGCACATGCAGTAGATAACAAATGCTGAAAAACAGATTCTAAGAAGAGTGCAGAGCTAGCTTAATACAAAAAGAACATGTATTCCACCAGAATATAAGGTGTGTCAAATGAAATAAAAAAGCAACTATTCCAAAAATTTTGTATGCTCTGAAGTTTGAAACCAATGCTTAGAGAAAGTAGAAGAATCAGAACATAAAGTGAAATGTATAGATACTTGCACACCTTTAGCGGGTACCCCAAACGAATTACAGCAAGAGTGCCAATGTCTTCCACACCGCCAACCATGCAGTTGAACCTATACATTCATACACATTTTGCCCAAAAAAAATATGAATTATATGCCTTGAACTTGGTGTCTATCCTTCTTTTTCGTATTCTTTCTTCTCAGTTTTGCTACTATACATATCCCTTTTTCATAATGGCATTCACATGGAAGAATGACATATAATAATGAGTTTAATGGTATTTCTTATTTTCCGTTATTGTAACAAGTAAGTAACAAACAAAGGAAGAAGTAACTTGATTAATCTTACTAACATTGATTTCCATACGAAATCGTTATGCAATTTTTTTGTTAATTCACCCTAAATTAGAGTTATTTCAGATACAACTTTCATGGAAATGAACCAAAGATTCCATGTTTGCTTAGATTTTAGTAGGTTGGATAAAGCATGGATTCACTTTTATGGTTATTGTTAATAATACTTTGGATGATCCTGTCACAAAATGCCTTTGTTCTAGAACTGAAATTTTTGGTAAGCATTTACCTTGAAACCATGGATTTTCCAACCTAGGTGAATGGACAGCCAGGGTATTTAGCAGCATTTTTTTAGTGAACTCAACTAATTTTTAGAGGCTCTACATTTTCCACCAAAAAAGTCTGTTGAGAATCAAAACATCCAAATGCCGAATCTAGTAGTTAAGTACTTCAAAGAGGACTATAAATATAAATTCATGGACTACCTAGTCAATTGCAGAGATAATCAAGTTAGACAAACTGTGAAGATATTTCAACAAATTTCTTAAAATTACACAAATATTGTGCAATGCTCATAGGCTAAAATAACTTCACAAAACATTAACATGATTAAAGGCATGTATTTTAACTTAGAAGCATCACAATTAAAGGCATGCATTTGTAACTTAGGAAAATCACAATTAAAGGCTTGTATTTGTAACCTAAGAATATCAGATCCCAAAACACAGTGAACTAAATGTCATCAACAAAGATCATGGACCCAAAACATTCCATAAAATGGTTTTCTACTACCCATGAAAAATAGAATTATTTATGATGAAGCATCAAACGACCAAATCGTTTCTCTATTCAAAATGACAACGCAAACATATCCAATTCTTCCAAATTCATCCCATTGAATTTGCACTGAACTGGTGTAAAAAAACACCTTGGTTTCTTTCTCCTTGTGCTGATTTGTTGACTTGGATTTTCAGTCATGTTAATATNCTGAACTGGTGTAAAAAAACACCTTGGTTTCTTTCTCCTTGTGCTGATTTGTTGACCTGGATTTTCAGTCATGTTAATATACCAAGCATTTTGCTGAAACAGGGGAGAGAGAGAGAGAGAGAGAGAGAGAGAGAATACGCAGGGGAGAGAGGGTGAACGGTGGGTTGTTAATGCCGATTTGTGAATATGCATGGGAGAGGGAGAGAGGGAGGGAGTAACTGATGGAAATTGATGGGTGATAATCTTGGGCATTTTTGTGGAGAGAGCTAGAGAGAGAATAACGATTGAGAGAAGATTCGAGAGGGAGATAGCGAGGCAGAGAAATGGGTGAGAGTCGTAAAGAAACAGGGGAGAGAGAGAGAGAGAGAGAGAGAGAGAATGGGAGAGAGGTGGGAGCGGCTAGGATTAAGGGAGAAGTTGTGGTAATTAGGGTTTGTCAGCCATTAAATATAAAGGATATGAACGACATAGTTATATTTTGGAAGGGTAAAAATGGAAAAAATAAGTTTTTTTTTATGTATTTTGATATTTTAAAGTAGTATAAATTGTCCATCATTTTAGCTTCTAAAATATTTTTCCCAGTAGATATTGGCAACTAATTTCATGTCCAACTCCAACAGTTGGTTTCTATGACATTATTTAATTTATCTCAGGAGTTTCTGGAACCACTGATATTGGGAAGAAGAAAATCCTACTTTTGAAAGGAAAAGAAAAGGAAATTTCTCCTGTAAGTTTTTTATTTGTTGCATTTGTAAAATTTTTTATGTCCTGCATATTTCTTGGAGAATGAGAATTGTCCCTGAAAGTGTTGTTTTCATGTGCTGATAGGACTGGTACACACATTTTGAGTGAAGAGAGTTGAATTCAATTAGGCAGGTAATTCAAGAAAAAGAAAAGAACATAGAATAGGAAGAGAAAGAAGTGGAGCAAAAGTAATTTGTAAAGGAAAATTGAAAATTTACACATCAAGCAGTGATTACTGTTAACTCAATTTGATTTTTTCTCTGGTTGGTTGCAAAATCAGCAATGAAAACTGTGTTACAAACCAGTAATGACAGGTGAATCGCTCTTACCAGAGCTGCTCTCTTTGTATAAAAAAGATAGAAAAGGGGTCTTCTGTGGGACTGCAAAATGCATTGAATAGAGTTGTCGTCTGCACCCTGTGCTTTTAGGGAATGAAGTCCGGCTGAAAAAACAAATATTTTTTGGGAAGATATGCAATGGAAACAGAAAATAAAAATCAGCTCATACAATCATGAATGTAGAAAATAGGGCTTTTGCACTTGACCAGTAAGAAAAAAAAAGTTTGCACTTTGTCTTAAAAATTAGTGGTCACTATGTGTAAAACTTGCTTAGACAAAGAGAAACGAGAATTGGGTGGTTTCAGCAGGCAATCCATGGAAAAATATCACAGGAGTATCGAACTTAGGATAGACTATAGTACNTCTTAAAAATTAGTGGTCACTATGTGTAAAACTTGCTTAGACAAAGAGAAACGAGATTTGGGTGGTTTCAGCAGGCAATCCATGGAAAAATATCACAGGAGTATCGAACTTAGGATAGACTATAGTGCATTTACAGCGACTGTTGATAAAGATTCGCCTAGCCTAGACTCCATTGGTGAACTGTCGAGCAATGTTGAAGTTCTCTAAACTTCTATAGTCCAGGGATGAATGAGTGATGAAGAAATCGTATCTAGAGGCTGCTAAGATCGGAGGACGGCCAATAGTATTCTTCTGTTACCGTTTATAAAAACGGAGTGTTTGTGGTGGATGTGGAATCTTGGTTAATTAGGTGTGAAGATCACCGGAGAATTTTAGTGGGGAGATTTGGCATGCTCAATTCAAAAGCACCAGCGATTGACAAAGTAATTAGATGAGCAAATTTAAAATGGGGGTCAGTTGGTCTAAAAGTTATTCCAATGGCCAATTCACTTTTCATGTTTATTTTTCAATCGTCAAAGGAAGCAATGAAGATTTTGAATTTGCAAGTTGGTCCTTAGAGGGTACTCCATTGTATCTTGACAGGTTGGTGGAATGGGCGGGATGTTTACCTGTTCAATGTGTGGAGGTGGGGAATATATGGTTTCGTGTGATTGGTATACCAACACATATCTGGTGTCATGAGTTGTTTGTTGCAATTGGTAATTATGTTGGAGAATTTGTTGATATTGATTCCACTTCAGAGAAATATGTTATTATGACAAGTGCTAGAATTTTGTCCTCCCCCCATGAATCTTCTATATCCTCTGTTCTTTTTATGAAGGCAGACTCTTATTCTTGGATTTTCATTTTCTTAGACATCTCAATGATGTGAAGGCAGAATGTTTAGTTTCCTTGTTTGACATGATTCATACTTTCAATCCATGCACTTCTCATGATTGTAGGATTTGGACGGTGGATAAACGTGGGATCTTCTCTTGTAAATCCTTTTGTTCTCATCTTGCTAGGCCCTAGAGTTCTGTTTTTTTTTTCCTTAGCCAATTTCATTTAGAAAGCCAAAGTCCCTCCTAGTCAAGACTTTGTTTAGTCTGTTGTTCTTAACTGGATGAATAGTAATGATTTTGTTGCATGTGAGGAGGCCATGCGAGGCTTTGAGCCCTAACATTTGCTTTTTGTTTGTGTAGTGGAGAATTGAGTGCTCATTTGTTCATTCATTGCCCATTTGCTTGGGGGTTTGTGGAATAATTTATTCAATGTGATTAGTGAGACTTGGGTTTGTCCTTATATAGTGGAGAGGTGATTGCAAATTAAGTTTTGGGGTTTTGGGAAGAATAAGGAAGCAAACGTGCTTTGGAATTGTGCGTTGANTTGATAAAGATTCGCCTAGCCTAGACTCCATTGGTGAACTGTCGAGCAATGTTGAAGTTCTCTAAACTTCTATAGTCCAGGGATGAATGAGTGATGAAGAAATCGTATCTAGAGGCTGCTAAGATCGGAGGACGGCCAATAGTATTCTTCTGTTACCGTTTATAAAAACGGAGTGTTCGNCCAGGGATGAATGAGTGATGAAGAAATCGTATCTAGAGGCTGCTAAGATCGGAGGATGGCCAATAGTATTCTTCTGTTACCGTTTATAAAAACGGAGTGTTTGTGGTGGATGTGGAATCTTGGTTAATTAGGTGTGAAGATCACCGGAGAATTTTAGTGGGGAGATTTGGCATGCTCAATTCAAAAGCACCAGCGATTGACAAAGTAATTAGATGAGCAAATTTAAAATGGGGGTCAGTTGGTCTAAAAGTTATTCCAATGGCCAATTCACTTTTCATGTTTATTTTTCAATCGTCAAAGGAAGCAATGAAGATTTTGAATTTGCAAGTTGGTCCTTAGAGGGTACTCCATTGTATCTTGACAGGTTGGTGGAATGGGCGNTCCAATGGCCAATTCACTTTTCATGTTTATTTTTCAATCGTCAAAGGAAGCAATGACGATTTTGAATTTGCAAGTTGGTCCTTAGAGGGTACTCCATTGTATCTTGACAGGTTGGTGGAATGGGCGGGATGTTTACCTGTTCAATGTGTGGAGGTGGGGAATATATGGTTTCGTGTGATTGGTATACCAACACATATCTGGTGTCATGAGTTGTTTGTTGCAATTGGTAATTATGTTGGAGAATTTGTTGATATTGATTCCACTTCAGAGAAATATGTTATTATGACAAGTGCTAGAATTTTGTCCTCCCCCCATGAATCTTCTATATCCTCTGTTCTTTTTATGAAGGCAGACTCTTATTCTTGGATTTTCATTTTCTTAGACATCTCAATGATGTGAAGGCAGAATGTTTAGTTTCCTTGTTTGACATGATTCATACTTTCAATCCATGCCCTTCTCATGATTGTAGGATTTGGACGGTGGATAAACGTGGGATCTTCTCTTGTAAATCCTTTTGTTCTCATCTTGCTAGGCCCTAGAGTTCTGTTTTTTTTTTCCTCAGCCAATTTCATTTAGAAAGCCAAAGTCCCTCCTAGTCAAGACTTTGTTTAGTCTGTTGTTCTTAACTGGATGAATAGTAATGATTTTGTTGCATGTGAGGAGGCCATGCGAAGCTTTGAGCCCTAACATTTGCTTTTTGTTTGTGTAGTGGAGAATTGAGTGCTCATTTGTTCATTCATTGCCCATTTGCTTGGGGGTTTGTGGAATAATTTATTCAATGCGATTAGTGAGACTTGGGTTTGTCCTTATATAGTGGAGAGGTGATTGCAAATTAAGTTTTGGGGTTTTGGGAAGAATAAGGAAGCAAACGTGCTTTGGAATTGTGCGTTGATGGCACTTATGTGCTATCTCTCAATAGAGAGGAACACAAGAATTTTCAATAGCCATTGTTTTCCTGCTTGATTAGTATGGGGCAGAGTTGTGTTAATGGGTTCGTTGTAGACTAAAGCCACGGAAGCTTTAGAGGATTGCCTTTGTTGGATCTACAAAGGAGTTGGAATGCAATTCTCCTTCAGTTATTTGGATTTCAATAGTTTCTTTTTGATCTATATTTTATTGTATCTCAAGGATATCTTATCCTCAACATTGTATCTTATTCTCAAGTTTCTTCAATAATAAAATTGTTCTTTTATCTAAAAAATAAAATTAGTGGTCACTACGTAGGATCATGTTGTGCATTGACATCGTATCCTTGAAGATGAGTCTTGAAGATTTTATTAGCTTAAAGTGCCAGTTGCACCTTAATTGATTGGCTAGCAGCCATGGTCTTGCTATACATGCAGACACAAAATTGAAATTGCAAGTTCATACAATTTTGTGAGTCATGCAAAATGGACATGTAGTCTTTGTTTAAGTGGAGATGCTGATGATCAGCTGGGATTGGAGGAGATCAAGTAGCAACCCTTTGCAATGAGCAAGCCATTGACTAGTGGTTGCATGAATTGATAATTTTTCTTTAGTTATGATATTTCCTTTTCTTTTCAGAATAAGAGATTGATGTAACAGGCAGCTTGAATCAAGCTACTTTGAATCTGTGACCACCCTGGACCTGACTTTGGCCTACATGTTAGACTCGAGTCTGCCCTAAAGTTTATCAAACCTCCAAACTCATGATACCACTGTGTATTAATATCCCTGCTCCGTTTTGAGCACTAATTCTTAGAATATGCTTTTGCATCCACCTTTGATAAAAAGAGTACTGGGTAATGCTTGAATCAGCCAATTAAGAATAAAAATTGCGTATATGTTGGCCCAAGTTTGAAAAGGACATGGCTTCCCTTGATTTTTTCTGTTGCCACATTTTTGGTAATGTTAGCACATCAATGTGTTTAAAAAAGATTCAAATTACCGTGCCTTGCTATTAGAAGCATTGAATTAAAATGTTTGCCTCTTCATACATTGTGAAAAGAACATATCTATCAGTTCCCTGTAACCCACCCCCAAAATTAAATAAATAACAAACCAAATATTTAAAAAAAAATGCACCTGCCAAAAGCAGCACTTACTATAGGACATGCTTGAAGAATTATCAACCTTATTACTTCTACAATGGAGAACTTGTGTCTTGAGTTTTCATTCCTTGTGTAGGTTTATGGTGGTGCATCATCTGCTACATCTTCTGTTAAAAGTTCAGTTGTTTCTACTGCTCTCAAACATAACCAGCGCCGGGAGACTAGTGGAAGGATTATCAGAAGTATACTTCTAAACAAGGATGCACAACAAACCCACTCATCATCTGTTGTTCATTCTGAACACCCGACGTCAAATCAGGAAAAGGACAAAAGACCTCCTCGGCCTCCAAATGTGCACTTGTTTCTGAAGGATACAAATGGCACACCAGAAGACAAGGGAATTGATTTGCATGGTTTCAGCAAGGAGAAGCAGGAAAAACGGACAAGGAATAAGGATAGACCTGACCGTGGTGTTTGGACTCCTCTAAGGCGGTCAGATGGATCACATGCAAGTGATGAGTCTTTGTCATCATCTACTTCTCAATCTACTCAATTACCGCAAGATTCCACAGAAGGTGTGGTCATCTGTTTAACACAGGTTTCATGATCTAGTAAATAGTAGGACATTATAGTGCATAGAGGTTACATTTATGTCGAAAGGATAGTCCCTCAGTGACCCCTTTTCCAATTTTTTTATGCATAAGAAGATAATCCTACAATGACTCATTTTCCATCATTTTAGGCCTATCACATAGTCAAACATTGATTTGTTGTGGGAAATGTGTCTCAAGATATATAGTGCATATGGTTTCTCACTACGTTAATCATTTCCTTTTCAATGTAAAGTGTTTCCAGGATCAAGAAACATGGTTTCAAGTAGATGACTCGAACACTACAATTCCAGTGATGGATTCTTTTAGTGTTGTCAGCTTCTTTATGGTTCATTTGGTATGATGGAAAAGTGGGGCGATGGAAAATTGAAGGGATGCATAAAACCTAATGTTTTGTTAGGGAGGAACAGTGAAAGGAAGAAGGAAAAGTGGAGGCATTCATTTTCTAGCCAACCAAAATTTTGTTCCCCCATAATTGGACAAAAAATTGGAAGAAAGACAAGTATGTGTGATGAAAATTTAGATATTTATATTTTTACCCCTTAATGTGTGTGTGTGTGTGTATTCTATTGGTTTGTTAAATATAATTGGTAAGTTAATTTCACATCAGAGGATATATGGTAAAACTTGCATATTTGTTTCTAGTGGACATTTTTCCTTGGATAATGGTCAGTTATATTTATGATCTCGAAATGGTCCCATATATTTGTACATATGATGTTGACGTGTAAACACATGTGATATGCAGAATCCAACTCTTGTTTTTTAATGCAGGTACCCATAAACATGGTGGTCGGCGTGGATCAGCTCATAATGTGAAGGATGTTGATGGTTCTTCCATTATAAGTGAGGGGAAACCCTCAAAAAGAGGAGGTTCTTCTGGCTATGTCTCCCACGAGGTGTGCTTTGCTTTAAATTTGTGTGTCCTCTTTGACAACTAGTTTGTGTGTTTTTTCATACACTTCTCCTTATTACTTTGTGTTGATTGTGATCTAAATGCAGAAACAAGTGTGGGTTCAAAAGTCAAGTTCTGGTTCTTAGTGTTGGTATAATTGGTAAGCTTCAAATTTGTGAGTAGTTTATTTTCTATCTTATTCATGGAATGGAAAATAATGTTACCCTTTTGTTTGCATATGCTGCTGTAGGAACACAGGTTTAGGGAATTGATTATTACATTAACATTATCTTATTTAGCAAATGTCAGATGTCTAGTCAGTGATTGATTGTTGATGAAAATAAGGCCTCCTTTAACCTGTCTTTTTTTTTGCAAGTCGAAACATATGGGCAAGCTTCATTAAATTTAAATAGTGTGCTTTCTCTGCTGTTGGAAGGTGTGGGAGAGTCTAGGACATACTAATTGTTAGAACATCTAACCCCAAATCAATTGGTAATGCGTGGTGTGACACTTCAAGTATTATAGCTCTTTAACACCCTCCCTCACGTGGGACACGGGCTCCCACGTGGGACAAACAAACAAAGAAACAACTATGCATACCGGAAAATTTAAATGAGTAAGAGACTTGACCCACTAACCACCGAAGGCTTAGTTTTGATACTATGTTAGAGCATCCAATCCAAAACCAATTAGCAATGAGTGGAATGACTCCTCAAATATATAAACCAACTTTGAGTGATCCTAATTATTTGATTTGGGATACAAGCTCTCTTAACACTAATTAGGGTAAGGAGAGTGCTACCATGTCAGCATGATTTTGTCATTCGTTGGAAGCGTATGGAAGGAACTAATCAACGTAACATGGTTTGCGATAGTAAACAGCCATGTTGTATGGGTTTATGTTGCACATAAAAAATATCTCAAGTTTTGGACCTTTTAACTTGGGTATTTTGTGAAGTGATGATGTCCACATATATTGATTCTGAGCAATGCTACACAAACTTAAAAATTTGTCTTAAAAATCTAATTTGATGATGTGGTTGTTATATTTGTCATTGATTTAACTGTGGGTCCCAGTATTTATTGGGACCTACTACCTATTCAATAGTAGTGATTTATTAAGTCAAATTTTTAAGTAAGTTTTTTAAGTTTATTTAGCATTTTCTATTGATTCCTATTGTATTTTCAAATTCTAAGCATGTAATTGTTAATGGGTTTCATTTTTTTTTTAATTTTCAAATAATTCCCAAGGTATGACTTTTCTTGCTTGACTTTTTGTTTGCATGTTATATAAATGTCTAATTTCACCCAATGGACTGCAAAACAAAAGAAATGCGTAAGCATGCCTGTTTTCCCGTTTAGAATTTTGATTGTGAACCTGGAATTGAATTGCTAAATTGCAAAAATTTAACAGTTGAAATTTGCATCATTCATGGCTTGTTGATCAATGCTTGTTGTCATAAGCTGCTTTTTGCCATGATAATAGAATCTTATTTGTTATTTCATCAGATGCTTTTGCAGTGAAATGCTTGGTCTCTTACCATATCAGAGAATCCGTCTTGCTAGTGGCTGGACACCATCTGGTTCGGTAGACAGAAGACTCAGGTGTATAGCAGAGTTGGAATACAACGAAAAGGTCTATTTGGAACTTCAGTTTACCTGAATGGTGCTGCTGCTATTGATGTATTTACTGTTTGGTGGCGATCAACAGATTCCGTTCCTACTTAGTCAAAGATGGCCGGGAATTGAAGCCAGAGAAAGAGATATATCATCCTTATTAACCCCCATATAATACCGCAATTTTCATCAGGGTGACCCTTTGATGGGGCGCCAGTGAAGCTATAGATATCGATTCTCGCCATTGACACTCAGCTGGTTGTCAAGATATTTTTTTTATAGGTGGATGATCCTTTTTGAACTGTAAATACAAAGCCGGAAGGATATGTACTACCTCGGTTAGCCTATATATATATATATATGTATGTTTTGTGAGCTGTGTGGCAAGCAATGTTAGTGAGTATATGTTATTCNCTCGCCATTGACACTCAGCTGGTTGTCAAGATATTTTTTTTATAGGTGGATGATCCATTTTGAACTGTAAATACAAAGCCGGAAGGATATGTACTACCTCGGTTAGCCTATATATATATATATATATATATGTTTTGTGAGCTGTGTGGCAAGCAATGTTAGTGAGTATATGTTATTCCCCCCCCAAGGTTAAATAGTAGGCTTTTCTGTGTTGGGGTTTGTGGACGAAGAAAGCATGACAGTGCTCATGGAAGCATTGGACATGGAGTTAGGCACTGGTGGAATTTTCTTTTTGGGGTGCTATGCTGGATGTTACCCAAGTTATACACGCTCTCGTGCTCGTATCTATTTTTAAGTGATAGTGATGCTTAGTCTGTGCACAACCATTTCGGAAAGCTTGTCCTATTTTTCAATTGTGTTGCATATTTAGATATCATGGCATCGGTGACGCATGATATTATATTCAAATAGTATGTGAATGAAATAGTTTCGAATGTCATATATTTCATGTGGTTATTCAATACATTTCAGTGACACGTGGGATCCTGTAATTTGATGATGGTGAGGTCATGAGTTATGGTTGTAAGTTATTATTGTTACATTGAATATTTTAAAATTAAAGCGAATATGGAGAAAATAAGAGAAGAGTAATGATATGTATTCTAAATTTGTAATTCAAATTTGCATTTCAAATCAAAGAAGATCATTGGATTAGTGTGTCTCGTTTAAAAAAGTTGATGAGACTCACTAATTCAATGATTTTCTTTGATTTGAGATACTCATGAGAGAAATAGTGGTGGATTAGTGGGGGTGGTATGACATACTTGTGGATTAATAGAGTTGTAAAGCATTGGAGAGGGTGTTGGTTTGAATTGTTTGACATTGAGCGCGGTGCAGAGATGTGCTTGAACAGGTGGAAAAAAGGATGATTTTTATATCATTGAATTAAAATAAATAAAAATTAGATTGATTTTAACTGTTATTGTATTTTTTATAAATTGGATCAAAGAGGAGTAAATATTCGATCGGATGGTTTGCTAGTATGACATTATTGAGGAGTAATAATACGATTCAATATGACTATTACCCCTAATCAAGACTTGTGATTCATATTGGTTGCACAAATTTAAAGTTGCGTTAGCCCGACACATTCATATTGTTTTAGGTTCTTAATAATGTAATATTCTGATTTAATGTAATGATCACTTTTTATTTTTTCTCAATAGACAAACATAGTTGGTCTTGATAAGGTCTTAATGGGTGATAAAACTTACCGGATTTCGCACAGAGGAAATATTATTGCTAAAGATTACTAGTTGGATCATTAGAGAAACCTGAGAAAGACAGGTGATCATACTTACTTTGCANTAAATAGTGTGCTTTCTCTGCTGTTGGAAGGTGTGGGAGAGTCTAGGACATACTAATTGTTAGAACATCTAACCCCAAATCAATTGGTAATGCGTGGTGTGACACTTCAAGTATTATAGCTCTTTAACACCCTCCCTCACGTGGGACACGGGCTCCCACGTGGGACAAACAAACAAAGAAACAACTATGCATACCGGAAAATTTAAATGAGTAAGAGACTTGACCCACTAACCACCGAAGGCTTAGTTTTGATACTATGTTAGAGCATCCAATCCAAAACCAATTAGCAATGAGTGGAATGACTCCTCAAATATATAAACCAACTTTGAGTGATCCTAATTATTTGATTTGGGATACAAGCTCTCTTAACACTAATTAGGGTAAGGAGAGTGCTACCATGTCAGCATGATTTTGTCATTCGTTGGAAGCGTATGGAAGGAACTAATCAACGTAACATGGTTTGCGATAGTAAACAGCCATGTTGTATGGGTTTATGTTGCACATAAAAAATATCTCAAGTTTTGGACCTTTTAACTTGGGTATTTTGTGAAGTGATGATGTCCACATATATTGATTCTGAGCAATGCTACACAAACTTAAAAATTTGTCTTAAAAATCTAATTTGATGATGTGGTTGTTATATTTGTCATTGATTTAACTGTGGGTCCCAGTATTTATTGGGACCTACTACCTATTCAATAGTAGTGATTTATTAAGTCAAATTTTTAAGTAAGTTTTTTAAGTCTATTTAGCATTTTCTATTGATTCCTATTGTATTTTCAAATTCTAAGCATGTAATTGTTAATGGTTTTCATTTTTTTTTTAATTTTCAAATAATTCCCAAGGTATTACTTTTCTTGCTTGACTTTTTGTTTGCATGTTATATAAATGTGTAATTTCACCCAATGGACTGCAAGACAAAAGAAATGCGTAAGCATGCCTGTTTTCCCGTTTAGAATTTTGATTGTGAACCTGGAATTGAATTGCTAAATTGCAAAAATTTAACAGTTGAAATTTGCATCATTCATGGCTTGTTGATCAATGCTTGTTGTCATAAGCTGCTTTTTGCCATGATAATAGAATCTTATTTGTTATTTCATCAGATGCTTTTGCAGTGAAATGCTTGGTCTCTTACCATATCAGAGAATCCGTCTTGCTAGTGGCTGGACACCATCTGGTTCGGTAGACAGAAGACTCAGGTGTATAGCAGAGTTGGAATACAACGAAAAGGTCTATTTGGAACTTCAGTTTACCTGAATGGTGCTGCTGCTATTGATGTATTTACTGTTTGGTGGCGATCAACAGATTCCGTTCCTACTTAGTCAAAGATGGCCGGGAATTGAAGCCAGAGAAAGAGATATATCATCCTTATTAACCCCCATATAATACCGCAATTTTCATCAGGGTGACCCTTTGATGGGGCGCCAGTGAAGCTATAGATATCGATTCTCGCCATTGACACTCAGCTGGTTGTCAAGATATTTTTTTTATAGGTGGATGATCCATTTTGAACTGTAAATACAAAGCCGGAAGGATATGTACTACCTCGGTTAGCCTATATATATATATATATATATATGTTTTGTGAGCTGTGTGGCAAGCAATGTTAGTGAGTATATGTTATTCCCCCCCCAAGGTTAAATAGTAGGCTTTTCTGTGTTGGGGTTTGTGGACGAAGAAAGCATGACAGTGCTCATGGAAGCATTGGACATGGAGTTAGGCACTGGTGGAATTTTCTTTTTGGGGTGCTATGCTGGATGTTACCCAAGTTATACACGCTCTCGTGCTCGTATCTATTTTTAAGTGATAGTGATGCTTAGTCTGTGCACAACCATTTCGGAAAGCTTGTCCTATTTTTCAATTGTGTTGCATATTTAGATATCATGGCATCGGTGACGCATGATATTATATTCAAATAGTATGTGAATGAAATAGTTTCGAATGTCATATATTTCATGTGGTTATTCAATACATTTCAGTGACACGTGGGATCCTGTAATTTGATGATGGTGAGGTCATGAGTTATGGTTGTAAGTTATTATTGTTACATTGAATATTTTAAAATTAAAGCGAATATGGAGAAAATAAGAGAAGAGTAATGATATGTATTCTAAATTTGTAATTCAAATTTGCATTTCAAATCAAAGAAGATCATTGGATTAGTGTGTCTCGTTTAAAAAAGTTGATGAGACTCACTAATTCAATGATTTTCTTTGATTTGAGATACTCATGAGAGAAATAGTGGTGGATTAGTGGGGGTGGTATGACATACTTGTGGATTAATAGAGTTGTAAAGCATTGGAGAGGGTGTTGGTTTGAATTGTTTGACATTGAGCGCGGTGCAGAGATGTGCTTGAACAGGTGGAAAAAAGGATGATTTTTATATCATTGAATTAAAATAAATAAAAATTAGATTGATTTTAACTGTTATTGTATTTTTTATAAATTGGATCAAAGAGGAGTAAATATTCGATCGGATGGTTTGCTAGTATGACATTATTGAGGAGTAATAATACGATTCAATATGACTATTACCCCTAATCAAGACTTGTGATTCATATTGGTTGCACAAATTTAAAGTTGCGTTAGCCCGACACATTCATATTGTTTTAGGTTCTTAATAATGTAATATTCTGATTTAATGTAATGATCACTTTTTATTTTTTCTCAATAGACAAACATAGTTGGTCTTGATAAGGTCTTAATGGGTGATAAAACTTACCGGATTTCGCACAGAGGAAATATTATTGCTAAAGATTACTAGTTGGATCATTAGAGAAACCTGAGAAAGACAGGTGATCATACTTACTTTGCATGGAGCGTTGATGCAAGAAAGTGCAATGGAGTAGTTTAGTGTGTGTGTGTGTGTGTTTGAGAGAGAATTTTATTTTTATTGATTTACTATTTTATGATAAACCTCTCTAATGCAGAATCATTTTTAAATTTATTCCCGTAAAAATAAATTTCTAATATCTATAATCACTCGTAAATCACAATTATCAGTTTAAACTCGAGAGACACCAACTTGAGTCAAAACTTGATGTTCGAGTTTACGATTGAGAAACATTACAAAACATCACCGTTTTTGGTAACAGAAGTGTATGTTATTCGTAAGGCTTTTCGTCTTCACTCAAATTAAATCAATATTTGAGTTAAAAATTAATTTAACACAAAACACTCTAATGATAAAAGAGAATAAACTCAAATTTAAAGAACAATAAAATATGATCATTGAATCTTCAAAAGAAAGATAAAATCTAAGATTTGAATCTTTGAGTTCTCATTCATTTAGTACAAGCGATTGCCTCCGTACAACCCCACGGCAGCTCCCACACTCCCCATCACGGCTCTCTCCAACCCGGCGCAACAGTAGCACCACTGCCATCCAGCCCCACAATGCACAAGTCAGGACCTACCACACCTACGTAACTCCAAATATCTGAATTTGTTACAGTTCCTCTTATAATACTCCAACCGTCCCATAAATTGGTTATTCCTAAACGAGTCATGAAGGGTATGGGGGCCCCAAAATGACATGCAAGATAAGTAGGTGTATCTAAAAATGGGTCTAGTCCAAAAAGAGAACTCTTAACAAAACTAAGCTGGAACTAATTAAGATCAATAGGAAGAGGAGTTAGCTAGGCCTGTCTCCACATTGGATCAAGAACAGAGTCAGAAGGATCAAAAACTGCCTAATTTATGATATATAGTCATCGAATCGGCCCAACTTGCAACCAGAGCTGTATATATTATATATACCTTCTGTATTCAGTAAATCGTTACATTTCCGGTCTGTTATGTTATCTGATTGATCTTCAGTGTCACCAACATCTGTTTTGATTGTCATCACCAGTTTAATAAGAAAAAATTGCCAAATTGAGCTTTCTGAACCTGACGTGTTGCTCTACTATTGGTTGGAACAAAAACGGCTAATCTCACTTTGCACCTTTGATTCTCAATTTATACTTTTAAGTAGTTAAATATTAAAAATTGTAATTTATACCCCCAATTTTAAATTTATAACAATATGAACCTGACCTATATTACCGTTTAGTTTTTTTTATCATAAATTGAAGGTACTTCGGACATGAGAATAAGATATGTTCATCGGTACAGATCTTTATGTGTGATTAATTCGACACCATTTTATATATGAAAAAAAAGTTTTGTTCTGTTAATTAGATTGAGACTAATCCTATTATGTGTGATTCGCACGAAAGCCAACAGTATGTGAATTTATACATAAGTCTATGTCCGAAATACTTGTAATTTGCGTGCTTCAATTTACGATGAAAAAACTGAACGACAATCTTGGTGAAGTAATTCATTCATAATATTGAAGGTATAAATTAAAATTTTTAATATTTGATGGTATAAATTAAAAATTAAAGCATCTTTCGGGGTGCAACGTGAGATTTGCCAAACCCTAAAACCCTATCACTCCCCCTCTTCAGTTGTTTCTTTTTCCCCAGAGAATCTCGACAAAACTAACATCTATCGCAACTATTTTCCAATTCCAGGGCTTTTTCTTTGCTGAAATTTTCTAGGGAAACAAACAGACAGAATGGCTTGCTTGTCATACAACTTTGGTGTTTCCATAAAATTTGTGAGCAATCCTTCCCACCGTTCTTCAAATCTATTTACAGCCAATCAACGACTGTGCGCCTTCGTGAATTCGTCACTCTTTAGTTATGTGCAACGCTGCAATTGGAACTCTGTTAATCTTCAAAGTTCTCACCGTTTCAAGGGCTATCGACACTTCACACCTGTCTTCAACGTCAACAGGGTAGCTTCAGAGAATATCACTTCAGGTATGTTTGTGGGAACCACTCTTTCTCTCAAATCCTAATTATTGTCTTTTTGGTTTTTCAGCAAAAAGATTTTCTTCTGCTGAGTATGACGTTATGTTCTTTACCAGCGAAGCTTGATTTTTAGTTTCATTAGGTTTGAGCAAAAGATTCTTTTTTGAACCTAAACAGATTATGGGTTTATTAAAGTTTAATTTCTCTTATGTATTTTACCCCCTTTTTGTAACCAAATTGGATCTAAAACGTACAAATCCTGTTCTTCAATTGGAAAATTTATAATAATGTAAGTTGTGATGACTTTTGAACTTTTATCCTGCTTCCTGAAGTTCTACAAATTATCCTTTGTTTAATTGAACACCTTTCTCAAAACGTTTTAGCTTTGACATTAGAAAAAAAATCATCAAATACTTGAGTAGTTAATTTCTGAGTCCCTTGATTCTATGAATTTCTTAGGCCTCGGGATTTGCTATGACTTTTTGCTATCGTCCAACGGTTACTACGGCTTTTGCTTCTGGTCAATATATAATGATTGAAGTTAATTTTGGTTGGTTAATCCAATCAATGGTCGGGATCGTCTTGATAATTACGTATTTTGGTTCTGGGAATTTTTCTAGGATTTATGAGGTGTGTAAAACTTAGCTTAGTTAGGAAAGCAATATTTCATGTGCTAAGGTGCCTAAGAATCAAAGTTATGATTGTCAATAAGGATTCAGTGACTTGGAGATTTTGATTTTGGGGGGAGTGGGATTGATATGTATGATATTATAGGTAGAACTGTAAAACGTCTGATCAGCAGGAGTTGAACATATATGTTACATCTTTAGGAACTATTCTGTAAATAAAATTTGGTCAAATTATTTCTTATATTACAAATATTTGTTGTATTGGTTTAGAATACATATGTAACAGAACTGTCACTGGATAATGCGAGAATGAGTAGTAGTTTTATGCTTTTATTTTTCACTATTTGTTGACCCAGCCTTTTTAAATATTCTTATAGAAGAAAGGGTGGTTGTGTTGGTCATTGGAGGAGGGGGAAGGGAACATTCACTTTGTTACGCTTTAAAGAGATCTCCCTCTTGTGATGCCGTCTTTTGTGCGCCTGGCAATGCTGGAATCTCCAGCTCAGGGGATGCAACTTGTATTTCAGACCTTGATATCTCTAATAGCTCAGCTGTGATTTCCTTTTGCCACAAGTGGGGAGTTGGACTTGTGGTGGTGGGACCAGAGGCTCCTCTTGTTGCAGGCCTTGCTAATGATCTTGTTAAGGCTGGAATTCCTACTTTTGGCCCTTCTTCACAGGCTGCAGCTTTGGAAGGTTCCAAGAATTTTATGAAGAACTTGTGTGACAAATATGGAATTCCCACTGCTAAGGTTTGTCTTCATCCTGTGGTCTCACTCACAAGATAGAGTCTGCTCTTCTTTTGTCTTCATAACTTTCTTACCCCATGCATTGACTAATTTGGTGCAGTATCAAACTTTCACAGACCCAGCTGCTGCCAAAAATTATATTAAAGAGCAAGGCGCCCCTATTGTTATTAAAGCAGATGGATTGGCTGCTGGAAAAGGAGTTGTAGTTGCAATGACGCTAAAGGAGGCCTATGAAGCTGTTGAATCAATGCTTGTAAAGGGTGATTTTGGTTCTGCTGGTTGCTGTGTCATTGTTGAGGAATATTTGGAAGGAGAGGAAGCGTCATTCTTCGCCCTCGTGGATGGAGAGACTGCCATACCTTTAGAATCTGCTCAGGACCATAAACGAGTAGGGGATGGTGATGCAGGGCCTAATACTGGTGGAATGGGGGCATACTCTCCAGCACCTGTCTTGACAAAAGAACTCCAGTCGTTAGTAATGAAATCAATAATTCTCCCCACAGTAAAAGGAATGTTAGAAGAGGGCTGCAAGTTTGTTGGGGTTTTGTATGCTGGACTTATGATCGAGAAGAGCTCCAGACTCCCAAAGCTAATTGAGTACAATGTGCGCTTTGGAGATCCAGAATGCCAGGTCAGTAAAGAAACAACCACTTTGATTATCTATAAGTGTCATAACCCAATCCATCTTCATCCTTCGGTGTACGTTGGACTCGTTGAGTAGTTATGTTACATGTAAGGGGTAGAATCTGCCTCCCGTTGGCATTGGAATTCATTAGATAATATGTTTTTCTTTAAGAATTATGGTTTGATTCTGTGCAAATATTAGTGCTGTGTCCACTTTGGAAAGTTTATTTTGCTCATCATCTTACTAAAAATTCATATCCTTGGTCATTTTAATCTAATTTATTGGTGAACTTGGGGGCAAATAATGTGGTTTTTTTTTATTTGCTAACTTCATTCATTGAAATCTTTTTCTTATATGCTGTTCTTTCTCTTACCATGTTATTATGTCTTTTGGTGATTTGCTATGGATTTTTTAAGTATAGTGTCCAAACCAGATAGTTGTGCAGGTCGATTGTATTTCCATGCTCCTTAATTATTCTTGCATTTCTAATTTCTGGCACTCAAGGTCTTAAAAGTTTGAAGGTGTCAGTGGGAAAATCCTTTATTCTGGTAGTATTTGTGATCTGACAATGCTCTTTTGTTCATATGCCCTTGTGTTTTAAGTAGTTTTAGATACTGGTGCCAAATTGCCCTATCATGTTTTTACTCAAACTGAACATGAAGCTATAAGTGATTCTGGAATTAGGTTGCAGTGAACAAATTGATGAGTAAGTACTACTTTCTACCACTTATATATAACTGTATTGTGCAACTTCTTCTACCACTTATATAACTACATAACTTGGTATCCAAGCGCTCTGGAACATGGCTGTATGGTTGGATCAGGAGGTTGCTTGCCATCTGTTGAGTGCTTATGTGGCCATTCAATATGATGAAAAACCAATACAATATAAGTTTGTGGTGGTTTTGGAGCATTAGGGGGATTAGCATATGATATAACATAACTAGAATGATCTTATTACTCTTTACATAACATAATCCGACTGTATTTGGTCTTGCTTGATCTGCATGATATGCAGGTCCTAATGGTCCGTTTGGAGTCTGATCTGGCGCAAGTTCTGCTTGCGGCTTGCAAGGGAGAGCTAAGTGGAGTATCTCTAGATTGGTCCCCTGGATCAGCCATGGTGGTGGTCATGGCAAGTCAGGGGTACCCCGGAAGCTATGAGAAAGGAACTGTGATTCAGAACCTAGAAGAAGCAGAGCATGTTGCTTCATCTGTTAAAATATTCCATGCTGGAACTGGTCACGATTCGGATGGAAATTTCATTGCGACAGGGGGTCGTGTTCTTGGGATCACAGCAACGGGCAGGGATCTTGAAGAAGCAAGGGATAAAGCTTACCAAGCAGTTGAGCAAATCAACTGGCCAGGAGGGTTCTACCGGAGAGATATCGGTTGGAGAGCACTCTCCCAAAAACAATTGTCTACATAAGGGTGAGTTGTTTAAATTATCTGAATTATGGGGTGTGAGATAAATCAAGGTGCCCCATTTGAATACACGAACGTTGTCTAAGATTGAGAAATATGTGAGAAACAGGAGATTGACGGCTTGTTTTGATGGTGAGGGGTTTAATAATTAAGTACCTTCCAATTAATTACCCACAGAAAGACAGCCATTTACTTTGTATCAAGAGATTGAAATGATGGATTCAGTGGAATTGTTAAGTTTTGCATAGAGATTAACAAGTTGGGCTAGTCTGATGTGAGTGCAAGCTGAGGTATGTAGTTATGCATTGAAACCATTGTTGTCTTGTCTTCGGTAATTGCTGTAAGTTACATGTATGAAATTGCAGCATTCACTGCAAGTTACATGTGTTGTCACTTTATTTTATCTTTGGATTGACCTCTTCAAAGTAGAGATTAAACTGCATATTATGTATCTCTTTTAAATCCCACTATAGACGGGAGACTTGTGCATTGTTCTCACTTTTTCTCTTATGGATTGTATTAAAGGGATGGTAAGAGCAAGGGCACTTTTACAGCTCAACCTGGTGTTTCAAAATAGTTTCTGTTTTCCAGTAAAAATACATTCATAGTTAGTGGTGTCAATCGAAGTGAGCTTGTCAAGCTTCAGTCGTGTCAGTTGTGATTTATCTCAACCTCTCATAACAACAATTCTAAATAACTAATTAATCAAAAATAAATCTCTTTGAATATGTAAAGTCAACCATAAAAAATCAGAAAAGATTAAGTTTGTCAAACTCTAGTAGAGAGAGAGATATGCACATGATTTGTGGACTTGACTCCGTAACGAATAAAATTTTTCGATATGACATCCTCTAAAATTTATTATTTTTGTGAGTGTTTTTATAATTTTTATGGTATTTTTATAACAAAAAAATTTATTATTTTTTGTGGGCGTGTTTTATCATTGTTGTAGTAACTATTTTTATTATTTTTTTTCAATACAAAAAAAATACTATTTTTGTTGGTGTTCATTGTAATAATTATTTTTATTATTTTTTTTTGTACCGCAACGATAGTAAAAATACACACGAAAGAGATTCTACTTATTCTTGGTATTGACTTTTGGAAAGAGACAATGGATAGAATCTGTTTTCCGACCTCCATTTGTGCATTCAGACTCAGGAAGAAGTGTTAAGGTCATTCAAGTATGACCTTAGATACAAGTATCCAAATCGTACGTGTTACATCATGAGGAGAATATTTATATCCAGTTCAAGTTAGGTGTTTGGATCAAACTCCTTTATTTAGAAGCTAACTAAAAGTATAAAAGATCATCTCAAACAGAATGATCTTTCATAGATATGAAAGAACACAACGTATCTAAAACTTGAAAACAGATTACAATGTTACCTCAACATAAAAAGAAGGCCACATAATACTTAGGGAATGTAACTTCTAACGGTCCACTATTCGCTCAACAAAATCCTAACAAACTTAGGAACTATGTGATGATGATATATGGACCACTCCACCTGCGGGTATAAATACAAAAGACATTGCCTCATAAAAAACAACAAAATGTAATATCTGCAATTGTAACTCTATCTTCTTCCCAAGCAATAAAAAATCTCTCAAAGAGCAAGAAACTTCATTACAGTAAATTAACATAGCTCTTCAAATGTTTTGTAGCTCGTACCTCTATTCTTTGTTTTCTATAGCATTTTACAGAGCCTTCAAGCTCAACCTTAGATCGATTTCTTTTACCCTGTTCACACACTACTATTCTTAAACCTTGAGCTCTTCAATTCAAATAAACATCTCACCCTTCGTGTTTACACATCATCATTTTGCAATCATTTGGGATTTGGTTTGAGTACTTATTAAGCAACCTTTTTTTTTTCTTTTTGAAGAGAAAGCTATGCAGAGATATCATTTATGTAGGAAAATTCTTATTACAATCCGAAGATAATAAAGCCTTAAGCTCACCCAATTCAAAGGAATTGAGTTAGATGAAGCCTTGGCTACAACCCAACGAGCAGCTCGATTAAGAGCACGTGGCTTGTGTAAAAAACGTAAATTCAAAATATTAGGAAAGTGTCTAATATCACCAACAAAAGCACTAATTTTTCATGGAGGAACATCTTTGGTTGAACTCAGCTTAATAACCTCCAGATTATCACTTACAATGGTTGCCTGATGAAGCTCCAACACTGAAGCCAAGAGCCACGCTTCTCTAACTGCAGCTGCTTCGGAGAATTTGCCGGAAACCGCAGGAATTCTTTTAGCAATACCCTCCAGGAAAGCCAAATTTGATCCCCTCAAGAGCACCGCAATAGCTATGTTACCTTTCTTGAACGCTCCATCATAGCTCAACAAAAATGAAGGATAATGGTCTGGAGATTGAAGTTGGTGATGAATCATTGAATCCTGATGACTTCCTTGCCAACCCCTAACAACATGAAACATCTCACTCCAAAGATTCTGGGCTATCATCAAGGTGGCAAAAGCATTAGGAACTTCATGCTGGAAAACAAACTAGTTTCTAGAATTCCAAATAGTCCATGCAATTGTTGCAATCTTCCCCCATAATCACTAGCAACTGGGGAATATCCTTGAGATTATCCAACAAAGAGGAGGCCCACTGAAGAACAAAAAAAGATGAATCTAGCACCAATCTCAATCCCAAATTTGATCCAAACCATACCTTCTTCGTCCAGTCACATACAAAAAGAAGATACTCCACAGACTCTACTTTATCACTGCAAAAAAGGCACCAAGGGGAATCAACACAATGTCTCTTGTATAAATTTTCTCGCGAAGCCAAAGCATTGTTGCAAACTCTCCACCAAAAATGTTTAACCTTCGGAAGAGCCTTCATATGCTAGACAACGTGCCAAAATTTCGAGTGAAGAGAAAAATAAGAACTCGAAGCTAAATTATTGAGAGGATTGAGATTGACAGCAAGAGAATAACCTGATTTAACCGAATAAATGCCTTGGGGATTCAATCTCCAAATTCTCCTATCCACACTTGGGACCATTGGTAAAGGGGTGTCAAGAATAGCCTTACATTCCTGTTCATTGAAGAGCTCTTTTAACTGCCCAGCGTTCCACTCCCTAGATTGTTGGGAGAAAAACTGATTAACCTTGAAGATATTACAGTCATGGGGCATAGGAGACAAAACGGAACCATCATCAAAATGGGGAATCCCCTTGTCCTCCCAAATATTTACCTCAGTGCCTGCCAAGACTTGCCAAAAAAGACCTTTTCCTAACAATTCCCTTCCCCATAAGAGGCTATTCCAAACTCAAGATGGTCTCGCTCCCTTTTTAGCCTTCATAAAATCACATTTAGGGAAATAAATGGAATTAAGAAATCTTGCCCAGAAATAGTCCGGCTTGTGAATAAGTCTCCAACATTGTTTTGCAAGTAAAGCTTGATTAAAGAGATAAAAATCTTTTTAGTCCATCCCCCTCTTGCTTTTGCTTCAACCATCAAAAGCAACCTAAACTTTTAAAGGAGTACATGATAACTTATTAAACACTGATATGGACTCACTACTATTTTTGTAATGATCAACACACACAAGAAGAACACAAATATTTTTATTATGGAACTCACATTTATCCTAAGAAATTTTTAGTTGTCGCCAAAGGAAAATTAGTGCCACTTTGGCTTTTGAGTTAACGTGTGATATTTATATTTAAGGAATAAAATGTGACTCTTAAAATCTTTTATGGGAAAAAAAAAAAAAAAAAAAAAAAAACTAACCCTCTAAACTATGCCTTCAGTTGGAGCGGTAATTTTTTATGCCACATGAATTTGGTGTAAAATTAGTAAGTTACAAGTGATTAATTCTCAATATATTGAGCGGATTAGTTTTAAACCCGAGTAATTTAATTTTGACATGACAAATTCATTAATTAGAATTGTGTGGAAGTTAGTACCCAATGTTTATCATTTTTTTTTTTGTCATTTCTTGATTGGCATTACATGAACTTAAACATGATACAATTAGTACATATATTAAATTATTATTGATCCATTTTATAATAAAAAATAAAAAAGAATTAAAACTGCTTAAATCTAAAATAACACGACCGAGAAAATTTAGGATAAATATCATAATTAATACTTAAACTTCGTCTCGTGTTTTAAAATAGTCCATAAATTTTTATTTGTATCTCTTTAATCTATTAATTATCAATTTTGTGTCAATAAAATCATTTTATCTATTTTAATCGTTAGAACAAATAGAGGCAAAACTCGTGTATTTGTTATATGATCGTCCACGTCACGTTACGTCACTTGTCTTCGTTTTTGTTGTGGTGTAAAATAAATAAATAAAAAAATTATGGACAAGATATTAATAATTGAAGCAATTGACAATTTAAAGACTTTTTTAAAATATAAAAAAAAAAAATTGTAAGAACTAATTACAATGTTGATCCAAAACTTTATTCCAATAGTGCCCTTTGTGACTGTAAGGCTGTTTTCTTCCAGAATTCTCTAGTTTTTTTTTTTATCAGAATTCTCTAGTTAAAACTGTCCATCGTTGGCCTACAAATCTTTATCTGGTCCCAATTGGCCTTCTCTCTCTCTCTCTCGGCCACCAATTCCTTCAATTTTGAATAATTTGTCATTCACCCTTTCAAGTTTTAATTTCAACAAATTATTCTTTTAAGTTTGAATATTTTATAATTACCTCAAATAGTTAATTGTATACCATAAAAATTACACAAGGTAAACATGAGAAATTTATGTAATGCCTATGTTATTAAAAATACACAATTACCCTTGAAAAATAATGCATGTTGGTGTTGGGTGGAAGCAAAAGTGAATGCAAATATAGTGTTATGCAGTGTGTTGGTGTTGGATTAAACAAATGTATTTTTTTTAAAAAAAATTTAGGGATAAATTGGTATTTTAAGAAAAAAATATGAAAAATAATGTACAAGATGGAGGTTGTAATGATACTTTCATGAAGTAACCATTGTTAGGTCAATTTAGTCCGCTTCAAACTTGGAAGGGACGAATTGCAGAATTTAAACTCATAGAGAGCTGATTGTNATTTAGTCCGCTTCAAACTTGGAAGGGACGAATTGCAGAATTTAATCTCATAGAGAGCTGATTGTAATAAGAGGCATAGTTGGAGGGTAATAATTGTAATTAACCCAAAAAAAAAAAAAAGAAAAACGAGCAGAGCCAGAAGAACATCTTTCTGGAACCATCCACGTGTCACCACCTAACCCACACTCTCTCTCTCGTACATAAACCCCTTCTCTCACTCTCGCTCTCACCTCATCTCCTACAACTCGAAAACACCAGTCAGTCTCTCCATTTCCAAGCTCTTCTGCGGTCCCCAAACTTCGAGCGTTAGGGGTTTTTACACTCAAATTCCTCAATTCAAAGACCCGAAATCCCTCTCTATCTCTGCATATACACAGATACATATACATACTTCACATCCTAATTGAGTTTCTAGGGTTTCGGTTAAGTTTTTTAGGTAGACGAAGATGGCCTCATCTGCAGCTCAAATTCACGTTCTCGGAGCTACTCCTTTGGCTTCTTGGAAGCACTCTAGTGGTGGCAAATGCAACAAAACAGTGTTCTTTGGTCAGAGATTGAACAGCACAGTGTCGTCAGGGTTTCCAAAATCTGCATTTTTGAAGCTAAAGAAAAACAACTACACCAGGAGAGGTTGTAGTACGACGCATTTTCGAATCGTGGCGGAGAAGGTGGTCGGAATCGATCTCGGCACCACCAACTCCGCCGTCGCAGCAATGGAAGGAGGCAAGCTATAATCTCCTCCCCCCCCCCCCCCCCCCC